TTTCCTTTCTCTGGAAAGAACAGCTTCAGTTAATGCTGCATTTTTCTACTGTAGGAAGTTAGCACCCACCCCTTTCCTAGAAGAATGAAATATTTTAGGAAATATTAAAAAGGCAGAATATTATGTTTCCCTGGATGAGAAATGGAGAAGCAGGTTTTAGAGATGAAGCAGTTCCCACCTTCTTGCCCCCAACACCCTTTGTCAATGGGCCAGAGGCAGAAACTCAATTCCCTCCCATCTTTGTCAATGGACCATCATCTGCAACACAATAGGACCCATCTAGCAACAGAAACTCACCACATGGCACCTGGGATGATTACATCAGCCAGCAAGGCTAACTAAGACCCCCACCCCCTGGGAGTCTGACAACCAATCAGGATACTCTTCCTGGGCCCCAGGAAGTTCAAAGCCAGAGAGGGCATAAAACCCGGGGACTCGCAGGATCTCCCCCCTTTTTCTGTTCAGGAACTCAAACCATGTGATCCTGTCCACCATTAAACCATCTTTTCAAGCAGTCTCCATGTTTCCAGTGTCTTTTTCCCCACTTGGAGCTGAACCCAGAAGGATATTTCTTCCTACCCTACCTTTCCAAAATTGCATCTCTCAGTCGAATTGTCAAAAAATTAAAATAAAAGGAATTAGAGATTAATTCTGCTGTTTTACTTACTGTCTCACTTATTGTTGTTTTCACAAAACATCCAATTCATCTTTATTTCCTTCCTTAATCTTCTTCTCTGGGAAAGTCTGGAAAGGTGGCATGTCACGCCAAGGCAAAGTCATGGTTTATTAAAATGCTGGTTTGTTGAGTCACACATTATATTAAACCATCAATCCCAATGTGCGAACTCCAGCATCTGGATTCACTTACAGGGCTTTAGATTCTGCCTTTTGACTGGCTGGACTTTAGCATATTGCATGAATGTGGTCAGCAAGGTAATTCAGTTTATCAAAAATAAATAAATAAGAGAATTCTAATTTTTGCACCTATATCTGATCTAAAAGCATTGCGTGGGGTTGTTTTGATATTCAATGGGATCTACTTCTGAGTTGATATATAGTGAAATAAATTGATGTTACTAACTGGGTTCTCATGTCAAATTAAGCCACAGTTTGCTTAATCATGGTTTGTTGAATAAACCATAATTGGCTGGGTTGACACTTTAAACCTACCCACCCCCAAAAACATTGTGATTGTTGTAATGTGAGACTCTGATTTTCAGAAGGAACTTCAGTTACTGCCTGAAGTGCCAATATATTTCAACATTGCTCTTTTTGGAAGAGTTATTGATCACCATAAGCTGCAAATCAATCCTGAAAAATTGATCTGAGTCCTAATTATTAAAATACATACTCTGATCTGTTGGATAATGATATTGTTTATCTCAAAAGAAATTCTGTTCCGGTTATACTGATTCACTACGAAAGTAAAAGTTACCCAGATGATACGATTAGAGAATATGGTTTCAAATGAAATCCTGCAAAATTGCTCCATTATTACTCATTACTTTTCCATTAAGATATAAGTTCCTAATGGACGTGGATTGTATTTTACATTCTGTCTCCTCTTATATTTTATTGAAAACGTTGTGCAGTGTGCATAATGTATAAATGTGGGATGCACCGTTACAGCGAGAAGAACCTTCTGAGAGCGTTGGGCAGAGAATAAAATGTTTGCACTGAGCACTCGAGTCATTCTTGGATATAGTACATGATATCATGTTGGTTTTTGCCTAACATTATTGGAAGCATTTGAAGAGAAAGGGATTCTCAAGGGATTAGGTAAGTTTTCAGCTCTAAAGCCTCATCCTCTGTTTTAGAAACTGGGAGATGGAGAGTTCTACTCCCAGGTTAGGCACGAAAGCCAGCTGGGTGACTTTAGGCCATTCACTCAGAGACTGTGAGTTCTAGTTCCGATTTAGGCATGAAAATTGGCTGGGTGACTTTGAGCCAATTAGTAGGAGACAGTGAATTCTAATCCCGCTTTAGGCATGAAAGCTGGCTGGGTGACTTTAAGCCAATCAGTAGGAGACGGCAAGTTCTAGTCCTGCCTTGGCATGAAAGCCAGCTGGGTGACTTTGGGCCAGTCCAGGGGTGAAATCCAGTAGGTTCTGACAAGTTCTGGAGAACTGGTAGCGGAAATTTTGAGTAGTTCCGAGAACCAGCAAATACCATGTCTGGCTGGCCCTAGAATGGGGAGGGAATGGAGATTTTGCAATATTCTTCCCCCAGGAGTGGGGAAGGAATGGGCATTTTGCAGTATCCTTCCTCTGCCATGCCCACCAAGCTACACCATGTCCACCAAGCCACGCCCACAGAACCGGTAGTAAAAAAAAATTGGATTACGCCTCCGGAGTCTGAGGGAGGCAGTTTTCACCCTCCCGGATGCTCAAAGAAAGCCTCCAGAGCCTGGGGAGGGTGAAAATCCCCCTCCTCGCTGTGGTACAGGAGGCCGAGTAGGCCACGCCCACCATGGCCACACCCACCCAGCAACCAGGCAGAGAACCGGTTGCTAAAATTTTTGAATCCCACTCCTGCTCACCGGATTGTTGCTGTGGGCAAAAAAGGCAGGTAGGAGAGTTGCCTTGCTGCCTCGAATTCCTGGTCAAAAGGCAGAATAGAAACCAACCAACCAGGGGTGGGTTCTAAATTTTTTTACTACTGGTTCTGTGGGCGTGGCTTATTTTGTGGGCGTGGCTTGATGGTCATGTGACAATTCTTTAGGATTTAGCAGAGGTACTGGTCTACCAGGCTTTTAACTGCTTGCAGAGCTGTACTGGTCTACTCATTTGTTTTTGCAGGCACTGGTCTACTCATTTATTTTTGCAGGCACCGGTCTACTCATTTGTTTTTGGAGGCACCGGTCTACCAGCACACTACCTTTTAACACTGATCAGCTGTAGGGCGGCCCTTTGAAGCCCCGCGGCAAGAGTTTAAACAGTTTTTTTCCCTCTAACCGATCAGCTGGGACTCAGGAGGCAGCAATAGATTGGGGGTGGGGCCAAATAAAAGGTAAGATTAACGCGGGGTGGGGGTGGGGGGCAGAACCGGTTCAATGACATCATATCGTCACCGCTTCCGGCTCGGCGGAACCGGGAGGAACTGGGAGGAACCCACCACTGCAACCAACCAACCAACCAAACAAACAAACAACTAAATTTACTTTACGTCTCAGCACTCAATCTGTCTTTCTTCTTCAATTCAATATTATGAGAGGGGCTTGGCTAGCATGAGACTTAATTTCATACTTTAATAACATAAAACGTAAACTTTCAAAACAGTTAAGTGCTGCAGAGCTCTTAATGGTCGGACTTTATTTTTTTAAATTCACTTTCTCACCGCAGTGCACTTAACAGTTGGATTAGTGCCAGGCTGTGCGTAGCATGTAATGTTTTTTCCGATACTGCAGAAGTACATAAGGGTGAACAGGGTTAACACCCCAACACTCTCGATTTTCAATTTCTTAAAAATATAGAAGAAGGAAAGAAGAGCAGGGATGGGTGTAAGGAGAGGAGAAGAAATACGGCGAGCATCTAGCATTTGTTCCTCAGAACTTGGAGGAATCTAATATACCGTGGTTGTTTTAATAAACACCGGTAATATTTTAAAAGGACAGAAAGGATAAAATATGTGAACACAAATAATTATCTGACAGGAGAAGCCAACAGGGCGACTAGTTGTCGGAAAGATTATTTGTGATTTTGAGCAAAGATGTTTAGTAGTAGCCGACATGCAGCTCTGCCATGGGAAATCTCTTTTAAAACCAGCATCTGATTTCTGTCAAATCCCAGAGGTCCAACCTTCATCAACAAGGAGAAAAAAAAAACCCTCTCCAAATTTCCTCCTGAATTTCAGAGCAAAGAAAAACCAATAGCTGGACTGAGAAAAAGCTAAAAGAATCCCAATTCCTCCTTTGTAAGATTGGCAGCTGGGAATTCTATGGTCCTCCTCACCTTGTAGAGGTGGGCAACCAATAGAAAGAAAGAAAGAAAGAAAGAAAGAAAGAAAGAAAGAAAGAAAGAAAGAAAGAAAGAAAGAAAGAAAAGGAGGAAGGGAGGGAGGGAGGGAGGGAGGGAGGGAGGAAGGAAGGAAGGAAGGAAGGAAGGAAGGAAGGAAGGAAGAATATAGGAAGGAAGGAAGCAGTAGTGAGATTCAAATTTTTTTACTACCGGTTCTGTGGGCGTGGCTTGGTGGGCGTGGCTTGGTGGGTGTGGCATGGTGGGTGTGGCAGGGGAAGGATACTGTAAAATCTCCATTCCCACCCCATTCCAGGGGAAGGATACTGTAAAAACTTCATTTCCTCCCAATCAGCTCGGGAAGCAGAGAATAGATGGGGGCGGGGCCAGTCAGAGATGGCATTTACCGGTTCTCCAAACTACTCAAAATTTCTGCTACCAGTTCTCCAGAACTGATCAGAACCTGCTGAATACCACCTCTGGAAGGAAGGAAGGAAGGAAGGAGGGAAGGAAGGAAGGAAGGAAGGAGGGAAGGAAGGAAGGAAGGAAGGAAGGAAGGAGGGAAGGAAGGAAGGAAGGAAGGAAGGAAGGAAGGAAGGAAGGAAGGAAGGAAGGAAGGAAGGAAGAATATAGGAAGGAAAGAAAGAAGGGAGGAAGGAAGGAAGGAGGGAGGGAAGGAAGGAGGAAGGAAAGAAGGAAGGAAGGAAGGAAGGAAGAAAGAAAGAAAGAAAGAAAGAAAGAAAGAAAGAAAGAAAGAAAGAAAACTGCAGAGTGTTTATACCCGGCAATAAGGTTTATCTTATTGTCTATTGATAAAGTCTAACAAAATTGAATGTGTGGACTAATCAGTGCAATTGTTTTTATGAGGATGCTAGACTCTTAATTGGCTTTGATGCAAAAAGGCATGGCTATCTTTACGGAAAGTTGCTATCTCACCACTGTAGCTTGGCCACAATCCCTTTGTAAGGCGGGGGTCTGGGGGGGGGGGGGGAGAGGCAGGGGTGGAGCAACGATTGGATACCTCCTCTCCCCTTTTTGGCTGCCTTCTCCATAAAGCCAGACTAGCTCTCTCCGAAGCAGAGCCTTCTGATGCATTCAACAAGCTTCCCAGCCCAGCTCTGATTTCAGCCAACAACTGTCAACATGGACACGTCTTTTGTCATCTGCCTTCTTATAGCATCCATTACTCTGGGTGAGTAGTACCTTTGTTTGGGATGATTTATGATCCTCTTCTGGACGATGGGTTCCAATCCTTCCAGTTGTGCCTGGGGGAGAGGGAGGAATTGCCAATGCTCATTAAATTGATTTGAAGTATGTGCCCCCCCCACCCTTAAAATGATCATCTCTTCATAAATAGATGGTGGCCTTCAGCAACAACATGTTGAAACAGGACTACCTCTGCCATTAAAGAAGGCTGAGAAGATTTGCTTCAGCCAGTGCTTTGTGGGTGTTTCAAATTCTCTGTGTGTCTATGCCTGCGTGGAATAGAAGCAAAGTGTGTTGTTGCCTAAGTGGCACCACAAGACTTGCGTTCTTCTTCGTATGTGGACAGAGGTTCACGTGGGCTCAGCCGGGCAAACTGTTGAGGTTGGATCACAAGCATTCACAACTATCTCTGGAGCGTGGAAAGCTGTGGATGATGGATGCTGCTGGATACTTGACAAGGGTTTGGGCAGAAACCCCCTTTCCCCCACCCCAACTCAAGAAGCAAATGCGGCAATTCTCATTTTCAAGTTTATTTTTTATGTCCTATTGATTGTAATGTAGAATAGAATAGAATTCTTTATTGGCCAAGTGTGATTGGACACACAAGGAATTTGTCTTGGTGCATATGCTCTCAATGTACCTAAAAAGACAAGGTACAGTCAAGAATCATAAGATACAACACTTCATAATAGTCATAGGGTACAAATAAGCAATCAAATCATACTAGGAAACAATATAAATCGTAAGGATACAAGCAACAAAGTTATAGTCTTAAGTGGGTGGAGATGGGTGATGGGAACGATGAGAAGATTAATAATAGTGCAGAGTCAATGTAATTTCTTCATTGGGAGCCGCCCAGAGCTGTGGGGGTACAGGCAGCATGGAAGTTTAATAATTTATTATTGTTATTATTCATATGGTGGATTGCATTGCGAAAGAGAAGTTTAAACAGGATTTTGGCATTTTTTATCCACCTATCAAGTTCTTTCAATGGCCTGGATTGTTGTTGTTGTTGTTATGGTTACTCACACTGTCAACCAGATTATTACCAGTACCATTTAATTTTGGCAAAGAAAGGAAACTGAAATGAGAGGAAAAGAGAAAGGAAAGGGAAATGATTCGTTTTTTCATTTTATTCTTGTTTTCTTCAGTTTTTGCAAAGTCCCAGGAATGTACCGTTTGTCAATCAAGTGCAAAGACCTGCCAAGGGAATAAGGAAGTCTGCTCTGCTCCGGAAGACAAATGTAGCATCATTTCGTTGGAAAAGATTTTAGGTAGGTACAAAACATCTAAATCCAGCGTGTAGCCAATCAACATTATTTTGAACGGTCTCTTCTAGGGACTGGATTGATTTTATCCTGCAGGTTAAAGCATATACGGAATCAATGTCTTGTGGTTTCATTACTTGGGCTTCACAGTTTTGAGAAAGAAAAGATTTGTGTTTCTATGTGTGTCTCTCTCTCTCTGTGTGTCTGTCAATTAGTATCCTAAACAGCTCGTTGCTGTGATGGATAGAAACAGTGAAGACTGTTCAAATGTGCTTCAAACACGTACATGCTTTTCTAGATTCATGCAGGAGTGGGCTGCTGGGGGTTCGCAGGTGTTCTGGAGAACCTCTAGCTAAGATTCTGTGCAGTTCGGAGAACCCCCAAATCCCACTCCCGGCTGGCCTCACCCACCCCACCCCGCCCCTCCCAGGAGTCCCCACGCAGCCTATTTTGGATGCAGGTAAGTGGAGGGCACACACGGAGGCTCGGGGGAGGGTGAAAAACAGGCCTAATGGAGGGCCTCCAGAGCCTGGGGAGGCTGTTTTTGCCCTCCTGGATGCTTGAGGAAAGCCTCTGGAGCCCAGGGAGGACAAAAACGCCCCCCCCCGCCATGGTGCAGGAGGCTGACTAGGCCACGCCCACCATGGCCATGCCCACCCAGCAACTGGGCAGAGAACCCCTTGCTAAAATTTTTGAAGCCCACCCCTAGATTCATGTGATGCTTTTCCTTGGGAGTGTGTCTGTGTGTCTGTGTGTTTTTGTGTGTGAAACACAGCTGAGACACACCCGCCTCTCAGTGGTCATCCCCCAGCATCCTGCGTGTGAGTCGCCACCATCAATTGCCGACTTCCTTCCTAGATTGGCTAATCTAATCTGGAGAGCAGGGAAGGGAAAAACAGAGATGACTCCATTGTTTATTATCTTGTTTATTTATTATCCCAGTTTTATTGCCTTTATAATAAACTCAAGGCAGTGAACTTAATTTTTTTTCCCAGTGCTGTTGTAACTTCAAATGGTCCCTAAACAAAGATTTGAAAGCCAAGGACTAGCTGCATTGTAGATTCCAGAACAGGGGTGTAAAACAGTGGTGAAATCCGATTTTTTTTTTACTACCGGTTCCGTGGGCATGGCTTGGTGGGTGTAGTGTGGCTTGGTGGGCATGGCAGGGGAAAGATATTGCAAAATCCCCATTCCCTCCCCACTCCTGGGGCCAGCCAGAGGTGGTATCTGCTGGTTCTTCGAACTACTCAAAATTTCCGCTACCGGTTCTCCAGAACCTGTCAGAACCTGCTGGATTTCACCTCTGGTGTAAAACTCAAGGGCCATGGGCTGGATCTGGCCCACAGGGTGCTTAGATCTGGCCCACAGGTTGGGCCTCGGTGCCTCTGCCTCCGTGTGCAGCCTCCCCCCCCCCGTTTTTGCTGGCAGAGGGCTATCAAAAGAAACTAAAAAAAGAACAAAAGGAGAAACGTTTCCCCGTTTGCATTTGAGCATGCAGGAAGGGACAGGAAAGGAGAAACGGAAAGAGGGAAGATGGGAAGAGAGCAAAGAAGGAAAAAGAAGGAAGGAGGGGAATAATAATATTAATATTAATAATAATAATAATAATAATAATAATAATAATAATAATAATAATAATAATCTGACTACCTACAACGCCATGACCGTGTTGCTAAGATCATTCACTGGAAATTGTGCCAGAAGTTTGGATTTGAGTACAGCAAAAACCACTGGGAACATCAAGTTGAGAAAATTTTAGAGAATAGAAACTCAAGATCTTGTGGGACTTTAGGATTCAGACTGACAGGCACTTGGTCCACAACACACCTGACATAACAATAGTTGAAAAGAAAAAAGTATGGTTCATTGACATTGCAATACCTGGTGATGCACGGATTGAAGATAAGCAGCAAGAAAAAATCACAAAATACCGGGATTTGCAAATTGAAGTTGAGCGACTATGGAAAAAGAAATCGTGTGTTGTCCCGATTGTAATTGGAGCCCTCGGAGCAATACCCAAAGGGCTGCCCCGCTATTTAGAAATTCTAAATTTGCCGGACTTGAACATTTTGACTCTACAAAAAACCACCTTACTCGGAACAGCTTACATCCTCCGACGATACCTTAACAGTTCCTAGGTCCTTGGTTAGGACTCGAGCTGCTGAGCTATTAACCAGCCTCAAAGGCTGTGAATCTCACTAAAGATTAAATAATAATAATAATAATAATAATAATAATAATAATAATAATTATTATTAATTAAACGTTATTTTAACTTTTGTCATGCACATTTCATTCTGTCCCTCCTCTATTCCACTTTCTTTAATATTAGCGTAACTCTCGTGAGTTGTCCTGTGGCAAGTTTGGCTCTGGAGGTTGGCTGTGAGCAGGGGTGGGCTTCAAAAATTTTAGCAAGGGGTTCTCTGCCCAGTTGCTGGGTGGGCGTGGCCATGGTGGGCGTGGCCTAGTTGGCCTCCTGCACCACAGCAGTGGGGGGGCATTTTTAATAATAATAATAATAATAATAATTTTATTTCTATACCGCCCTTCTCCCGAAGGACTCAGGGCGGTGTACAGCCTATTAAAAACACAAAACAACATCAGTTAAAATAGTTTAAAATTATTAAATAAATTCGGCTAAATTTTTAAAACCCCAGAAATTTAAAACCCAATTTAAAAATGTTATGTTGATAGCCCAGCCTGGTGGAACAACAGGGTCTTTAGTGAGCAACGAAATACCCGGAGGTCGGAGATCTTACGTATTTTACGTATTTCCGGGGGCAGTTCATTCCACAGGGCTGGGGCACCCACAGAGAAGGCCCTCCCCCTGGGTGTCGCCAGCCGACATAACTTGGCCAATGGCACCTGAGGAGGCCCTCTCTGTGGGAAGAAGAAAGGAGAATGAAGAGGGAAGGAAAAATAAGAAAAGGAAGGAAAATAGGAGGGTCTCAGGGAAGCCCTGCCTTAGCACTTGGTCACCACAGGTGCCCCGACATGAGTCCCAAGTCATGCCCACCATGGCCACGCCTACTATGGCCACCCTCACCCATGGCCATGAGCCCCCCTGGGCCTCCAAGGTCAACCCTGATGTGGCCCTCAATGAAATCGAGTTTGACTCCCCTGTTCTAGAACATGAATAAAATAACTCATGAGGATAATTAACCGGTGGAGTGACTTGTCTTTGGAAGTTGTGGGTGCTCCATCACTGGAGGTTTTTAAAGAGACTGGACATCCACTTGTCTCAAATTGTATAGGGCAGTGATGGCAAACCTTTTTGCCATCATGTGCCAAAAGCGGGGGAGTGCGGGGTGATCGCGCGCATGCATACCCACACCCATAATTCTATGTGCCCTGCCGCCCCCGTGCATGTGCTCGTCACCCCCCGTGCTCCCCCCACATGTGATGGCATGGTGGGCCCAGTAGGCCCGTTTTATGCCCTCCCCAGGCTCCAGAGGCTTTCTAGGAGCCTGGGGAGGGCGAAAACAGCCTTCCCCACCACCCTGAAGGCCCTCCAGAGGCCGGAAACAGCCCGTTTGCCGACTTCCGGTGGGCCCAGAAGGCTCGAAAATCAGCTGGCCAGTGTGTGCATACATGCTGGAGCTGAGCTGGGGCAATGCTCGCATGCCCACCAATATGGCTCTGTGTGCCTGTTCACCATCACGGGTATAGGGTCTCCTGCTTGAGGAAGGGGTTGGACTAGAAGACCTCCAAGGTCCTTCCTAGTTCTATTCTGATTGATATTCCAATTTATCTGGATAAATTGCATATGGTGGAAAGTTGGGGCAGAAATCTTGGGACCCTGGAGAAGGACTGGCGATGCTGAAGGTTCATGCTCAATAGCATTTTTATCTGCCACTCACAGAGATACTGAGCAATTCACCGTTTCAGACACCAACTCTTCTTTTGGATCCCTACAGGATCAACCAGCTACGCCACCAAGAAGAGCTGCATCCATCCTAAGGAGTGTAACAAGAGCCTGGCAGTTCTGGACCTGGGCAACAACTACATCATCACAGGCCACGTTTTCTGCTGCGAGGACAATCAATGCACCAATCCTCCCAGCTGTACGCTTTGGGGCTCTTGTTTTCTCTGATTCTTTGCCATTCTTTCCCTCCCCCATTTTCCCCACCTAAAGATAAATTTCCTGCCTGGGATCATACCTCAATTTGTGGGGGGACGTTTCGGTGAGATGTAGAGTAGCATGATGGTGTTGTGGCCCGTACGCGGCCTGTGCAGCTGGCACTCGAGTTGGACAGTGAGGAGGCTGGAGAAGATGTGGTGCCAGAGGCGGGGATTCAGCCAGGGCCTTCAGAACCTCCAGAAGCTCCCATAAGTGAAGAGGAAGAAGAGGAGGAGCCTCTTCTCGATGCACAAGCGTGCAGAGCTGCCAAAAGGCAGGAGTGGCTCCTCAGGAGGAGGTCTCCTTGAGAGTAAGGCTTGGGGCTAATTGGCCACTCCCTTAGCCTATTTAAGGAAGGACAACGACTGAGGCAATTTGCAGGAAACAACTTCGTTCATATTCCTTTGCGTCTTGATTCCAGAAACGTCTGATCAGCTCCTGCTCCTTTCTTGTCAGTTTTCCTGCAAATTGCTTCTGGGCATTCTGCCAACCACAGTAAGATTATGGTTATCTGAAATACTGTGTTTCAGAATTGAGTTATTATTCTTTGGATTCTTGTCGGCTGTTAATGAAGTTAAATTAACAGCCCTTGTTCAGAAAAGACTGATCTAAACTGTAGTTGTGTTCGAACAACTACTAAGAAAAACTCATTAGTAGTACTTAATTAGTAAACTAAGGTTTGTACAGACTTTGTGTGTGCTGTGTTCTTTAGGGTCCATAGCTGGGGCAGAACAGATGATCACAGGCAGGCCCACCATCTAGGACAAGGGCATTCGAAATTCTTCAAAATCCCAGGCTGAGGTTCTTCCTGATATTTCCATACTGACTCTCATTCAGTAAAAGTTCAATATTCAGTATCCAGTCTAGTACTGTAAAAGGGACTTGATTTTGTTCAGTGGAGCATGTTAAGTCTTGGGTGGGCATGGGATTATTGGTGGTGCAGTGGTTAGAAGGCAGTACTGCAGGCAAACTCTGCTCACTGCCAGAAGTTCGATCCTGTCCAGCTCGGGGTTGACTCAGCCTTCCATCCTTCTGAGGTCGATAAAATGAGGACTCAGATTGTTAGGATGCTGATTCTGCAACGTCTTGCTTTAATCTCACTATTTCTTCCTTTCTAATATTACGGATCTCCCAGATAACAGGGCAAAGTAGTCAGATTAGAGCCTGGTGGCGCAGCAGACTAATAGCCTGTTATTAACATTCAGCAGCCTGCAATTACTGCAGGTTCGAATCTCGCCAGGCTCAAGGTTGACTCAGCCTTCCATCCTTTCAAAGGTAGGTAAAATGAGGACCCAGATTGTGGGGGCAATAAGCTGACTTTGTATAAATATACAAAAGGATGAAGGCTATTGCTTAACGCATTGTAAGCCGCCCTGAGTCTCTGGAGAAGGGCGGCATATAAATCAAATTAAAAAAAAAAGAGATTATGTTTCAGTGAGGGCAACTTCTCAGTTGCATGATAGTGTCGATAGGAAATTGAGAAAGTGGAGTCCTTGGTGCTCTCCGAGCTTGGTGGTTTTCTTGCAGACGCTTCATTACCAAACTTGGTAACCAGGAATGCAGCACGCATGCACGGCCAGCGAATCGTTTTCACCACTGTTGGTAGCCCTGATGATGTTACTTAGTTTGGTAATGAAACATCTGCAAGAAAGCCACTGTCAACCTCCGACTTTCTGCTTTGGCTGCCATAAGAAACGGGGGAGGGAAAAGAGGAGGGGGAGGGAAGCAAGCTGGTGGATTGAAGAAACGAAACCTAAGCACCGAAGTGGCTATCGGGTCAACCGTCATCGCATTCCTGATTGATGACGATGCCAGATGTGTGTCCACCTGACCTCTGGGAGACCTTTGGATTGGGTGATTGATGATGAACAGTGGGAGGGGATGCTTTCTATATGCAACTTTCGCGCCTATTGCTTCAGTTTCAGCTTTCCTTGATTGCGTTCATTTCATTTTCCAGTAAAAGTACATTACTCTATAAAATATGGAGTTTGGCTCATTCTTTCCTGGACTTTGAAGGAAGCAAGCCTGACAGCCACCAGGCTCAGAGAGCACCAAGGACCCCACAGTTCAACCCTGAATCACCAATGTTCTCTTCATCGGAACTGAGCAAAGTTGCTAAGGGAGGAACGTGCTGGTTTCTGAGTTTCCCACCCTTACGCTGAGGTCATCCCAACCTCCTTTATCATTCTTTTAACTTAAACCTCCTCCTTCTTCCCTGCAGTGCCCGAGAGAAAAATTGTAACTACCAAGAACAAAAGATGCCCGGCTTGCTATGCTGAACCAAAGGAACAGAGTGGATGCGAGGAGAAGACGATTAACTGTATTGGAGAGGATGAGACATATTGTGCAGAAATGTTTCTTCAGAAGAAAGAAGGTGAAACCTATAGCTCCATGCCCTTATTCAGTATTGGAAGCTGCTGATGAGGAAATGCAATTCTTGAATGGACATTGCCATGACCTGAAAGGCCAGATCAGGTCGGTAAAATGAGGACCCCAGATTTTTGTTTTTGCTTTAATTTATATGCTGCCCTTCTCTGGAGACTCAGGGTGGCTTACAATGCGTCAAGCAATAGCCTTCATACTTTTGTATATTTATACAAAGTCAGCTTAGTGCCCCCACAATCTGGGTCCTCATTTCACCTACCTTTGAAAGGATGGAAGGCTGAGTTAACCTTTGGGGGCAATATTCTGACTCTGTAAACTGCTTAGAGAGGGCTATAAAGCACTATGAAGTGGTATATATGTCTAAGTCAGGGATGGGATTCAGCCGGTTCGGACCAGTTCAGGCAAACCAGATGCTAATTTTACATCTGGTTTGCTGAACCAGTAGTTGCAAAGACTGGCTAGCCCCGTCCACCCTGCCCCTCCACACAGCCCGTTTTGGATGCCAGGTAAGTGCAGTGCTCGTGCAGAGGCTCTGGGAGTGCAAAAAACGGGCCTCCCAGAAGTTCCAGAAGTCTGGAAACGAGCCTGTTTCCAGCCTCCGGAGGGCTTCCGGAGCCCAGGGGAGGCCATTTTTGCCCTCCCGGAGGCTCAAGAAAAGCCTCTGGAGCTTGGGGAGGGCGAAAATGCCCCCCTGCCATGGTGCAGGAGGCCGAGTAGGCCAAGCCCACCATGGCCACACCCACCCAGCAACTGGGCAGAGAAGTGGTTACTAAAATTTTTGAATCCCACCTCTGGTCTAAGTGCTATTGCTAAGTGATATTTTGGAGGTTACCGTGATCTAAAAGACTCAGTTTGCTAGTAAGAGGGGCGAGGTTCTACCCATGATTCCTCTGATATCTATACATACACACATTCACAGACAGATGTTTCCAAATTACGCCGAAGTCGTGTTACTATGGATGGAATTTTTCTTTTTGATTCTTTTGAATTTTTTTTAATGATGGCACTGGTCAGTCATTGTGTGGCCAAAACACATATTTGCTAGTTGTTGTTACTATTACTTGCTATTTTTTTGTTACCACTAGAAGTAACAGTAACAGAGTTGGAAGGGACCTTGGAGGTCATCTAGTCCAACCCCCTGCTCACACAGGAGACCTGTACTACGGATTTGAACTGCCGAACTGCTGACTTTTCTGATCCACAAGATCAGCGTACCACCAATAGCAATAGGACTTAGACTTATATACCATTTACAGCGATCTCTTAAGCGCAGTAGTGAAATGTAAAATTTGTTACTACCAGTTCTGTGGGTGTGGCTTGGTGGAGGGGTAATGTGACTGGGTGGGTGTGGCCAACTTTTTTTTAAGCATTTTTTTCAACCTATTTGCTATTTGTAAAAAAATGCTTTTAAAAGTAAAAAAAAAAAGGCTCTGACGATCACAGCTGTGGCGCATGATCGTCAGAGCCTTTTTTAAAACCTTTTAAAAACAGGAAGTAACGACACCTGGGTGGGTTGGCGGAGCCTTGCGCCACCATCGCTACCGGTTCTCTGAACCACCTGCCACAATCGCTACCGGATTGCCGGATCCAATCCGAACTGGGAGCATTTCACCCCTGCTTAAGCGGCTTGCAGAGTCAGCATATTGGCCCCAACTATCTGGGTCCACATTTTACCGACCTCGGAAGGATGGAAGGTTGAGTCGACCTTGCGCCAGTCAGGATCAAACTGCTGGCAATAGCTCAGAGCAATTAATATAGATAAAGACAAAACTAACTTTCTTCCCAGGTGCTAAACCAAACACTCTCCTATGTCAACTCTCCCCTTCACCTCTTGTTCTTCAAGGCCATTCCCATGCATGGGACGGAGGTCCACATCTGAAAGGAGGGAGATGTGGCATTATGGTAGAAGCCACACCCGTTTGTACATGTACATCAAAGAGACAGGGCATCAGTTGCTAGGTTGAACTTGCCATCTTGCAAGGGGATTTTTTTTTTTGCTCCTCCCCTGAGATGCTACACTCCAGCGTCATCCAATTAAATGAGAGCTGGGAGGGAAAAAAAGGTAGGATTTTTCTATCTAATCATAATGGATAGTGTTGAGGTAGAGGGTACATTTTGATCCTTGACTTCCTTTGAGGCCACAGGAAATTTTCAGTGGCTGCTTCCACTTTTAATTATAGGGATGCTGTCCATGGTACTGAAAGCAAACCAGTACATAGTACTCCGTGCGATCAATGTTTCTGCCGAGGTTGGAATAGCCTCTTTGCATTGGTTGTTCTTACTCAACATGGTTTAACCTAATTATCAAATGGACCCATTTTTCTGGTTCTGCACAATCCATTCAGCCATTAGCAATACTAATAGCACTTATGTACCGCTTCATAGTGCTTTTACAGCCCTCTTTAAGCAGTTTACAGAGTCAGCCTATTGCCCCCAACAATCTGGGTCCTCATTTTACCCGCCTCGGAAGGATGGAAGGCTGAGTCAACCTCGAGCCTGATGAGATTTCAGCAGCTACTTCAGCTGCTGAACTGCAGCTGAAGTAGCCTGGAGTACTGCACTCTAACCACTGCACCACCTCGGCTCTTTAGCTAAACAAACAGTATGGATTCAAATATGCTATGTCACCAAATTGCCAACCCAGTCCAAATATAAGCTCCTAAACAATTCAGCTGTAACCGTGCTTGGCCTATAACAGTGATGGCTAACCTTTTCCGTACCGAGTGCCCAAAGTACCCCCAAAATGCAATGCATGCATGTCCCCCATGCATGCACCCCGCTCCCCCCTGCATGCATGTGCCTCCTGCATGTGCCCCATCCCCGTGCATGCATACGCCCCACATGTGCCCCGCTCCTCCTGTGCATGCGTGCACCCCCCGCATGTCTCTTGCCCCCCGTGCATGTGTGGCAGAGACCCAAAGACCCAGCTGGCCAGTGGGAGGCCTGCATGCATGCGCAGCAGAGCTGAACTGGGGCGACAGCTTGTGTGCCATCAGAGACGGCGCTGTGTTCTACCTCTGGCACGCATGCCATAAGGTTGCCATCACAGGCCTATAACATACAAGTAGTCCTTGACTTACAATTGGTTGCTTAATGACCATGCAAAGTTATGATGGACCTCCCCAGACCTACGTACAACTCGATTTCAAAGTTCTGATGGACATCTTTCTGCAATCATGTGATATCCTGGGCACTTGGCAACTGGCCTGTATTTATGGCCATTTGCAATATCCCGCACTCACATAACCACAATTTGCCAGTTTCCAGGGTTAACTTCCAGTTTCTGGCAAAAAAGTATCCATTGGGTATATTGGCTCATTTAACAATCACACAGTTCATTAATGACTGTCACAAAAAACTCATCAAATCAGGCATAGTCACATCATGACCCACTTAATAACCAGTATGATTTATTATTGCAATTCTGGGCTCAATATGGTCATAGATCAAGCACTACCTGTACCTAGTAAACTTCACCTGATGAAGTCCATTGTGTCAACCAGTGGTGGAATTCAAACTTTTTTACTACTGGTTCTGTGGGCGTAGCTTGGTGGGCATGGCAGGGGAAGGATACTGCAAAATCTCCATTCCCACTCCACTCCAGGGGAAGGATACTGCAAAATCCCCATTCCCTCCTCACTCCTGGGGGAAGAAAATTGCAAAATCTCCATTCCCTCCCCACTCTGGGGCCAAACAGACGTGGTATTTGCCGGTCCTCCGAACTACTCAAAATTTCCGCTACCGGTTCTCCAGAACCTGCTGAATAGCACCCCTGGTGTCAACCTTTATTGGGGAATACAGTTCCATGCCCTCTTTCTGGGAACGTGTATGCCGAAAGCAGAAGGAAGTTTCCTCTGGGTCCTACTTTCTCTCTCCCACATTGCTCCAAGTCAGCTAGCTCCCAGGTGTTGACAGCTGTCTCCTCCCATTCTCTTTGCAGGAGGAAAAAATATGACCACCACCATGAAAGGATGTGCCAATAAAGCTTTCTGTGAGAAGATGGAGATTTTAACCATTGATAGCCTATTTACTTTACTCCCCGATAGCAATTGTAAGAATCCCACTGGGGCAGCTGACACCACAACTGGATTGTTTGGACTCTTCCTCTTGGCCCAAGCTGGGCTCTTGTTGGTGACCATCTTTTCTTGATATGTCCCCAGCAATTAAAACTCAGATCTTGCTTGTCAATTCTTCCCCCTCTCCATTGCTTATGCCTCTTTGGCTTCACGCAGGTCCTCACCTTCCAGGGAAAAGCCAGAACTTTCCTTATCTGTGCTTCGAGGATTGATTCTCAATTATTTTCTCTGCCGGTGTGCAGAAAAGATAGGGCCATCATCAACCCATATATTTCAAGGGGATTGATTGCCAGCAGCCAAAGCTCTTTCTAGTACTGCTCCTCCTCTTCTTAGCTCTGTTACCAGTTGACCTGCCCACCTTGAACAAGCGAGCTGTGAAAGTTGTACAGAGAAGAAGCAGGGCCCCTTTGCTTTGTCCTCCCATCCAGCAGGGTTGAAAATGGACACCAAGGAAGTCAAGGAAATGTGTAGTGAGAAGAATGAAAAAAAAAAGGGAAGTGGTCTGTCCAGAAGATAGGCCCTCTGAGGGCCTATTGCCAAAAGTTGCCTCTAATCCATTTATGGGGTTTCTGAGGATTGAGAACATAATGGAGGGAGGATGCTGCTAGTTACTCAGCGGTGGGATTCACTTATTTTCCCTATCGGTTCGCAAATATGAGGGCATGTGCCTCATCTGCGCACTTGCACGGCCTTCTACACATGTGCAGTAGATATGCATTATGTCCGCATGGGTGGGCGGGGCCTCCCACAGTCGCCGCTACCAGTTCGCCCAATTTGGAGAGAACCGGTTGAATCCCACCTCTGTAGTTACTGGACACTGAAGAGATTTCACTGCAGCAGCAGCATTGCCACACTTCATAGAAACCATTGTATTGTCAACTCTGAAGCTGGTCTGTCTGACGCCATCTTGGAAGCTTCAGTATTGCCAGAACAGTGATGAGGGATAGAGGGGGAATAGAGATAGTTGGGGTTTTGTAGCCAAAACAAAATAGTTTTCCCCTGAGAACCAAGGGCATTCCCACAGGTGGCTGAGGAGAGGAGGAGTAAGCAACCAGAGCGAGCCTAGGTTGGATCATGTGATGGATTGTTTGGGAAAGTGGGGTGGGGGACACTTTTACTTTTAATTAGATGAAAACTGCAGGAACCTTCAGAGTCAGTTTTCACCAGTTTGTGCTAATATGATATGCCCAATAAACTTGTTCTTTGAGGAACCTGCTCGCCTGAGAATTCTGTTTGCTGTGGGTGTATTACCTGGAACCCTGACATATATGTCCTTGACTGGCATTTATGGTGTGAGGTAAAAATAGTCAAAATGATGGTTACGGTAGTGAGCATCCAAGTTTAAAGGACCAGGACTTTGATCAGCCTGCTGTAATCTTCTGCTTGTGGACCCTGGTGTTGTGTGCATTGTGCTGGACTGTAAAGCAGGCAGCTTCTGGGCTAAAGTGTACATGTGAACCAGTGGTGAGTTGCCCCCAGTTTGCACCGGTTCTATAGAACCGGTAGTAAAACCAGCAAGAGGCTCCACCCACCGACCCCGACATCATCAAAACACTTCTGTGCATGCGCGCGGCCCCATTGCGAACCGGTAGTAAAGGTAAGTAGAACCCACCCCTGAGGTGCACTGTTGAGGAATTTGCAGAGCAACCCTTGAGTAGCAAGGGTGTGCACATGAAAGCGATTGAGAGTAGTTAGGAAATAACACAGCCAACACACAGATACACTGAGTTGTGCTTACTTTCAGGAAATAATAATAAGACACAGTCCAATAAACAGTCCAGGTCATACACAGATAAAGTAGTAGATAGTAAAACAATAGTCCAGGGATAGTCCAATTACAAAGTCTTCTTACCAGTCGTTGTAGTCATACACATAAACAGTTGCAAACAGTAGCAAAACACAGCAAACAGCAATGAGCATCAAAGAGCAGTAATGAGCATCAGAGAGACAAAGAGAGAAACAAATCGTGTTTCAAGCTCCCTTTTAAGGACATTGGCTACAGAGCTAACCAATCAGGACACAGTATGATGCAATACAGCAGTTTTTAAAGCTATATATGGTTTATATATTGCCAACCCAACAAGTTAGGTAAAATCATTTCCTAACATGCACCAAACCCCATTTGTATATGTTTTTTTAAAAAATTTCCAATCGTTTATAAATCACCCTAATCTGACCGCCTCTAGACTGTGTATAAAAGCAAGTCTTTAAAAGTGACTACATTTAACAATTAAAGTAATATCATAATCAAGCTAAATTTATTGGTGGCATTAATGTGCCCATCAGACAACGTAGACTCTGTAGCAGAGGTGGGATTCACTTACCTTCCCTACCGGTTCCCAAATGTGAGCATGAGTGTGATTCTCGGCCTTCCGCTAAATAGGACAGCATTACTTCCGGGTTCACGATTGGGATCATGATTGGGATATTTGGACCGAGATGCTCTACGCACAGTTACTCATGCACTAGTCACCTCTCGTCTTGACTACTGTAATGCTCTCTACCTAGGGCTGCCCTTGAGGACCACTCAGAGGCTTCAGCTGGTGCAGAATGCGGCCGCGCGGGTTGTGATGGGAGGGTCCCGATACTCTCATGTTACACCTCTCCTACGCGACTTGCATTGGTTACCGGTTGCCCTCCGGGTGAGATTCAAGGTGCTGGTGATGACCTATAAAGCAGTGGTGGGTTCCTCCCGGTTCGGTCCGGTTCGGCCGAGCCGGTAGCGGTGACGATATGACGTCACCGAACTGGTTCTCCCCCCACCCGCCCTCCCCCCCACCCACATTATTCTTACCTTTTATTTGGCCCCATCCCCAATCTATTGCTGCCTCCTGAGTCCCAGCTGATGACTAGAGGGAAAAAAACTGTTTAAACTCTTGCCGCGGGGCTTCAAAGGGCCGCCCTACAGCTGATCAGTGTTAAAAGCAAACAAATGAGTCGGGTCGTAAGTGCGAGGACTGGTCGTAAGTGCGAGGACCTTCCAGAAATGACTCTGACCAGCTAGCCACGCCCACCTAGTCACATGACCTCCAAGCCACTCCCGCAAAATAAGCCACGCCTACAGAACCGGTAGTAAAAAAATTTAGAACCCACCCCTGCTATAAAGCCCTACATGGCTTAGGCCCAGGATTCTTGTCGGACCATCTGCAGCCAGCAACGGCTTCCCACCGCCCGCTCCCAGAGAAACGCTGGATGCGTTTCCACCACAATTTTGGGCATTTTCCACAAACAAATCCAACCCTCCCAATGTTTCCATTTTTTTATTTTTATTTTTTGCATGAAGGACAGTTCATGTCATGCTTCATATAACTTTGATGCACGGGTTGTGTAGTTCTGAGGATGAGCTTAGAACCGTTGGGCCAACAATGACATTTGGGATAGTGTAGGGACATTTTGAGAAATCTGAATTGCCTTTTGAAGTGTGCACTTGCTTTAAATGGTTGGCTGTAGAGCCTCATGGAGCAGTAGCATTCTCTGACAGATAGACATGTATTACTCAATGCAACAGCAAACATATTTTTTGATGGAAGTCATCAAAAATAACAACAAAAAAAAAAGAGGTACTACCACCTTCCTCATTTTATTGCTCCTTTTAATGAAAATCGAGAAATTCTTTTACTATTTTTAGAGCGGGTGGCATTTCCTCTCCCTTCCCATCCAATATGCTATTTTGAAATTCTGCAGGATTCTGCAGATCTGTGTCCCCCCCCCCCCCGCCTCCCCATTGGTACAATTAAAGCATGCTTCAAGTACTCAGAGGCTCCTGCAGCGCTTAAAAAGATTAGGAATATTTATGTGCAACATAATGTTTAACTGCCTTCGCTGGTCCTGTTCCATAATTCTCATTTGTGCCATGCAGGGGAAAAAAAAAAGGGAGATCCTTTTATACAAGGGATCCTCAACTTACAACCACAATTGAGCCCAACATTTCTGTTGCTAAGCGAGAGACACTTGTTAAGTGAGCTTTGCCCCATTTTACGACCTTTCTCTTCCCCATTGTTAAGTGAATCACTGCAGCTGTGGAGGTAGTCACGCGGTTGTTAAGTGAATCTGGCTTCCCCGATGACTTTGCTTGTTGGAAGGTTGCGAAAGGGGTTTACGGGATACCTTGGCACTGCAACCGTCATAAATGTGAGTCAGTTATCAAACGTCCGAATTTTGATCGCATGAATCAAATGGTTGTAAATGCGACTGAAGTGAGCAGCCGTAAGTAACTGAAGGAGGTGAGCATTTCTAACGCTCCTTCCTCCTCCTGTTTTCCCCACAACAACAACAACAACCCTGTGAGGTGGGCTGAGAGAGAGAGGGGACTGGCCCAAAGTCACTCAGCTGGCTTTCATGCCTAAAGCAGGATTAGAACTCAGAGTCTCCTGGTGATTGGCTCAAAGTCCTGCAGTAGGCTTTCATGCCTAAAGTAGAACTAGTTCTCAGTGTTTAGGTCTTGCTGAGTCTGGGTCTGGCGCTGCAAGGATTGAATATCAGCCAAAGGGTTTCTGAAGCGAAAATCTCAGATGACAGGATTTGCTCACTGAGGACTAGTCACTTGGAGTCAGAATTGGCTTGAATAGGCCTCTCCAGAGCATCCAGTCTCTTGACACAGCAACCTGTCAATTCATCGTTGTTGTTTTGTGAAAATATATTTTCACAAAAGCTTTAAAGAGAGAAAAGAAAAGCTTTAAAGAGAGAAATTAAAAAGAAAAGCTTTAAAGAAAAGCTGTAAAAAGAAAAGCTTTAAAGAGAGAAATTGAAATTTTAAGAGAACAAACAAACAATGGTTTGGTATGATGTACAATCTTTATTGTTTCTGGAGTTGTAGAATCCCGTCTTCCATAAAACTCTGCCATAGTCCATTTGGACTCACTTATGTGGCAAATGACAGAAAGCACGAGTTGACCAAACTCTGTTTAGAATCACCTTAAGGAATATCTTGTGAAGAGTGGGACCGAGTTTTGAGTTATCCACAGAAAGAATGCTTACAGTGCCAATTCCTTTTGGGACATTGAAATTTTCACAGAGTCATCATTTCTCATCGGGGTAGAAAAACCCCTTGCTATATAGTTTGTTTCACTTCCTCATAGGCTCCAGCAGGCCTGTCAAAATCCATTTCTCCATTGCTAAGAGGAGTTGAAGGCAGTTTTAGCTGTATTTCATAAGCCAAACATCAGCTTGGTCTGTTTGTCTATTCTAAAAATCCCCCCCTTTTCCAAAATCTTTTAGTTATATATATATATCCCCAGGTTAAATCAAACTGCCTCTCTCTCTGTCTCTCTCTGTCTCTGTCTCTGTCTCTGTCTCTGTCTCTGTCTCTCTATATATATATATATGTATGTGTGTGTATATATATATATATATATATATATATATATATATATATATATATATATATATATATAATATATATATATATATATATATATAAAATTAATAATAATATAATGCAATGCAAATATCATATCATGTCATTCATATCATATCAGAACAACCCACAGAGTCAGGTAGCGCATTCCAGGCATTGACCACTCTGTTGCTGAAGTCGTATTTTCTGCAATAGAGTTTGGAGCGGTTTACCTTAAGTTTGTATCTGTTGTGTGCTCGTGTATTGTTGTGGTTGAAGCTGAAATATTCATTGACATTGTAGCAGATGATTTATGTGTACTACGCTTAGGTCAGACCGAAGATGACGAAGTTCTAAGTTGTCTAAGCCCAAAATTTCAAGTCTGGTGACATAAGGTATTCTATTGCGAGCAGAGGAGTGGAGGACTCTTCTTGTGAAATATCTTTGGACTCGTTCGATTATATTAATGTCCGATATGCAGTGTTGGTTGGTCTAGCAAATGTTTTATATGCCTTAGTTAGCATGCACCTTCTGCTTAAGCGACTTTGTTAGTGTTTAAGGAACCTCAAGTTCTTTCCTTTGATTTTACGGCAAGAGAAAGAATGCAGCCGTGCCAACTTTTGCTCTGAAAATCGGGAGGATTGTCGTCCCAGCTACACACATTTGGGTGAACCCCGTCGATTAAGATGACGGAGTTTAAATTTTCGGGAGCCATTCAACCATGCTAAATAAGCAGTCTGTATTTTCTTCTGGAAGACAGACTTGGCAACTTTTAATTTGGCACCGAGCAAAATATGTAAAAGATGATTTTGGCTGGCTATTAAATGTTTAATATTTTATTTGGCTTCACCCACAAGTACAGTAAGTTTGTTTTTTCAAATAATCTTTACTTTTGGACAGCAAAACAGGAAACAAATAGATTTAGTTTCCTGTAAGCATTCCTGCTGTTCTCTCTCTCTCTCTCTTTTTTCCCCTTCCAGAAAACCACTTTTATTTCTTAAATCCGCCTCCTTTTTCAGGAAGTGGTAGTTTTGGACTGCTGTTAAAAATGCTTCCTCGGCTTCGGGCAGCATAAGAGAATTTCCTGTATTCAGAATTTCCAGATCCGCTTTGAACAAAGCACCATGGAGACTTCACCAACCATCTTCCTTCTCGCCCTATTTATTATCAAAGGTACGTAGGCAAGAGTGACAAATATTTGAAGTGAATGGCTTCCGTGCCTTCACTGCTTTTGTAAATTTGTAGCATATTTTTTCCAAAAGAATTTGTGGCACATGGACAATAGGGGATTGTAGACTTTCAAAGAAAGAAATAACTCTATTTGGCATACTGAAAGGGAAATCTTTTGGGGAGCTGACGAAATCTCTAGGCCAGTGTTTTTCAAATTTCGCAACTTTTTAAGCATGAAGACTTCAATGACCAGAATCCCCCAAAAGCAGACCCCAGTGAGATTCTGGGCAGGATCAGTAGATGGTAGTACCATCTTCTACAGGGTCGGAATATTGCTGCAAACTGCTTTGAAATATAAATCGGGTAATTTAGTTCTGTTGCTTTTATAATCCCACATTGGTAAATGGATTGCAGTCTCTGGATGCAAAGAACTGAATCTCTGTTAAAAAAAATTAAAATCTGAAAATTAAACCTTAAAGTTAAAAAATTAAAATCTTCTCTTCTGATTTTGGGGATGCAAAAGTTGAAAATTTGAACACGATCAAAATTTAGCAAAAATACTTGGCTGGAATTAACGGGAGTTAAAAGAAACCAAACCATCTACTATAGAGGTTGGTAAGATTCATTCTCTCTCTCTCTCTCTCCCTCTCTCTCACACACACACACACGTATGTACAGTACATACATATAGAGGGAAGGAGGAACTTTGGAGCTAGCCAAAAATGCAAGCATAAGAAACTTTTTCCTTCTTTCTCAATTCCAGCGTTCTTAACCATCGCTCCAAACTCATGCTTTTTAGTTTAACTTTTTTTGTGTGATAATTTTAATTTCTTTTTAATATTTATAATGGTTTGGATATTTGGCTATTTGGCTAAGTCGCTCAGACTCATCTCGAATCACGAGACGGGCAGCAAATGAATTTAATAATAATAATAATAATAACAATGCCATATCCAGTCTGAACATCTGGCTGACTGTGCTATGAACCATAATAATAATAATAATAATAATAATAATAATAATAATAATAATAATAATAATAATAATAATTCTAAATTTGCCAGACTTGAACATTTTGACTCTACAAAAAACCACCTTACTCGGAACAGCTTACATCCTCCGATGATACCTTAACAGTTCCTAGGTCCTTGGTTAGGACTCGAGCTGCTGAGCTATTAACCAGCCTCAAAGGCTGTGAATCTCACTAAAGATTAACTAATAATAATAATAATAATAATAATAATAATAATAATAATAATACTCATCAATCCAACAATTCGATTTCACATATTTATTTTGTTGGCATCCTGAAAAATGTTTGGAAGTCTAGGCGATATTGTACCTTCTGGTTATCTAGAAGATTGGTGGCACAGAATGCAAGCAAATTCTGCCCATAGCCTGGAGTTCGATCCTGATGGGGCTCAAGTTTAACTCAGCCTTCCATCCTTCCGACGTCGGTAAAAGGAGGACCCAGATTGTTGAGGGCAATACGCTGACATTGTAAACAGCCCAGAAAGTGCTATAAAGCACAATGGGATGGTATATACTTAATTGCTCCATTTTAGTGCACCACTCCCTTAAACCAGTGGTGAAATCCATTTTTTTTTTACTACCGGTTCTGTGGGCGTGGCTTGGTGGGCGTGGTGTGGCTTGGTGGGCGTGACAGGGGAAGGATACTGCAAAATCTCCATTCCCACCCCACTCTGGGACCAGCCAGAGGTGGTATTTGCACGGTTCCCCAAACTACTCAAAATTTCCGCTACCAGTTCTCCGAACTGCTCAGAATTTCCACTACCGGTTCTCCAGAACCTGTCAGAACCTGCTGGATTTCACCCCTGCCTTAAACTAGCTTCATAGAGCTAGCCCACAGTTAAGGCATCTAGGAACTGTACATCTGGAAGATGCCACGGTTGAGAACAAGCTTCCAAACCCTTCCAGGTGATCTGTTAAGTAGTTATTTTTCCTCCTTACGATCTCAGTTGATTGTTGGTGAAATCTTGCTGTGACCTTGGTCTCAAACAGGGCAGAGAAAAAAGAAAGGAGCCAATTTGCTGTCCTTTTTGTTGTCGTTGATGCTGTAGGATTATCTCTGGAATGTGAAGAATGCCTTGGAATAGGAGGTTGTTCTGGGGATATTGTGCCATGTGATTTTGGGAAAGACAGATGCAGCATTACTGATATGGCCCTCCCAATAGGTAAGTACAAGAAGAAAGGTGCGTCTCCTACAAGCCCCAAGGAAGTTGATTTTATTTAATTATTATTCTGTCTTTATTACTTTATAAATAAGTCAGGGAAGCGAAAATACCTAATGCTCCTTCTGACTTGTATTTCCTCACAAAAATCACATTGTGAGGTGAGTTGGGGTGGGAGGGAGTGATTGGGCTAAAATCACTCAGCTGGCTTTCATGCCTAAGGTGGGACTAGAACTCACCATCTCCTGGTGATTGGCCCAAAGACACCCAGCTAGCTTTCATGGCTAAAGTGGGACTCGAAGTTATCTTCTCCTGGTGATTGGTCCAAAGTCACCCAGCTGGCTTTCATGGCTAAAGGAGGACTAGAACTCACTTTCTCATGGTGATTGGCCCAAAGACACCCAGCTGGCTTTCATATCTAAGGTGGATTAGTAGGGCCTCCGGGGGAGGGGGGGGGAGGCCGTTTTTGCCCTCCCCAGGCTCCTAGAAAAGCTCTGGAGCCTAGAGAGGGTGAAAAACGGGCCTACCGGGCCCACTGTGCCATCGCGTGCCAAAAGCGGGAGAAGTGCGGAGGGGTCGCACACACATACACGGGGGCGAGGCACATAGAATTATGGATGTGGGCATGCGCATGTGCGACCCCCCCTCCGCACTCCCCCCCCGCTTTTGGCACACGATGGCAAAAAGGTTAGCCATTGCTGCCCTAGACTATCTGTAGCATACGTCAAGAATAAGGCTCCCCAGAAATAGGCCCGTCCAGAACAATCTTTTCCCTTTATCCTGATTGTAATTTCCATTACCTCAATTAAAAATACTTCATATTTACGGGGGGTTTATGGCTAAGTGTTCCTTTACTTACTCACTTTGGATTGAGTTCTGAAGGGAGAAATCTTTGGTGGAAAGACTACTGTAAATAATCCCACTGGATTCATCCAACAGCTTATTTGGCTTTTGAAAATGGGAAAGAATATCAGCTCAGTTGCTTCTGTTCTCAAACATGCTTCCTACTGACTCTGCATTGACCATCATGGTTCCTTCTGGTGTTAAAGCGGTTTCTCTCTCTTCGTTTCCCACAGGATTACACCTGACTATAAAAACCTGTGTCACATCTGACATCTGTGACAAAGGCGTTCAAGTAATTAATCTGGGTCAGCAAGGAAAAGCTGTTGCCCACCTGAAATGCTGCGACGGACATGAATGTGGAGCCGTGGCCCCTCCAGGTATGTCAGGGCTAGGTTCTTCTCACTCAGGTTTCCCTGTCTTTGTTCTCCACTTCAGATGTGTTGGGAACTGCAGTTCGCGTCATATGACTGGGTAGAAAAGTTGGTGGAACTCTTGAGTGAGAGGCAAACACCTCGTATTCCGGAATAACAGAACAGAATAGCAAAATAACAGAGTTGGAAGGGACCTTGGAGGTCTTCTGATCCAACTCCCTTCTCAAGCAGGAAAGCAACCTAGTGGTTGCCTGCCAAGAGTTTATTACTCACGAAGGAAAGAGATAACTTCTCTCCGCTTCTGGTACATCAAAGTAAAATGTTCAATAATTACAGAGTAACTTAAGTCCAAATATAATCCATCAAAGCCTATAGCAAAAGTCCGGCAATGCAGAATGGCGTGGAAGCTTTCAGCTTTGTTCGTCACAAGGCTTGACTGGCCACCACGCTCCCTTTTATACCCTGTGGGGTGTGGTCCAGTGACTCAGCCTAATCTCTGGCACGCCTCCTCTTCTGTTGCGTGTGCTTATCTCTCCGACGCTGGCATGGATCCAGCCAAGACTCATCCCCGCTACTGTCCGACTGCACCTGCGCGGGGATACCTGGCTCCTGGCCAATCTCTTCTCCGTCAGGAGACACCTGAGGCATTGCCAGAGAGGAGGATCCTGGAGAAGGAGGCCCGGCCAACTCCTCTCCTTCTGTTTCGGAGCCTTCTTCCTCCGATAAGACGGGCTCGGGGGTCAGAGCCACAACAATATATAGATGTGACATAAAGTTACAGCTGGTGGTTGGTCAGCCATATAGAAAAAAAAATCATAGTGAAGACAACAAATCCCTGGATTATTCCCCCTAAACAGGAGTCTCCAATCTTGGCAACTTTACAACTTGTAGACTTCAACTCCCAGGATTCCTCGGTCAGTATGGCATCCTGGGAGTTTGAAATCCACAAGTCGTCACGTTTAGCCAAGGTTGGAGACCCCTGCCCTAAAGCCCTTTTCACTGGGAATCTATTTCTTTCTCATGCCGTGTCCGATTGTTCTATCTTTTCTATAGAATTGCCCAAGAAGGCCCCAGCCAATGGGAAACAGTGCCCAGCATGCTTTGCATTGGGAAAAGCATGTCTCGAAGAAGTTACTGATTGCACTGGAGATGAGCTGTACTGTGCCGAAGGAAATCTGAATCCAAATATGGGTAATTATCTATTTAGGTCAAACCTTTCTCAAATTACAATAGCCTGATTTTGGATGACAACTTCCCTTAATCAAAAGGGACAGAGCTCTAGCTCAAGATTTCCAGTGGAAGTGTCCATCTGTCTTAGAGGCCTCCAGGTTGTGTTCATACATTGAGCAAAACCATGGTTGGTTGGTTGGTTGGTTCGTTGGCTGATTGTGGGGTTTTCTTTGGATCTTTCAAGTCAGTTTGTGTGTGTGTGTGTGTGTGGTTTGCATTAAAAAAATCAGGGGTGGGCTGCTGGAGGTTCGCAGGGGTTCAGGAGAAGCTCTAGCTAAGATTATGTGCAGTTTGGAGAACCCCCAAATCCCATCCCTGGCTGGCCCCACCCACCCCACCCCGCCCCTTCCAGAAGTCCCCACGTGGCCCGTTATGGATGCAGATAAGTGCAGGGTGCATGCGGAGGCTCGGGGAGGGCGAAAAATGGTCCTATTGGAAGTTCAGGAAGGCTGGAAACTGGCTCATTTCCAGTCTCCAGAGGGCCTCCGGAGCCTGGGGAGGCCATTTTCGCCCTCCTGGAGGCTCAAGGAAAGCCTCCAGAGCCCGGGGAGGGCAAAAATGCCCACCCACCGTGGTGCAGGAGGCCAACTAGGCCACCCCCATCATGGCCAGGCCCATCCAGCAACGGGGCAGAGAACCCCTTGCTAAAATTTTTGAAGCCCAGCCCTGATAAAAATGGCATGGTGTAAGCTGTATTCCCCCAAATTGCAGGAGTAATAATGAAATTCCCGCCTCCCTCCCTGGATTTTGACAACAATATCCCCACATTCTCCTCCAGCCTTTTTGAGAATATCCAGTATAATTCTTTCTAAGTTTCTATTTTACTTACTTGAATCTAATTTCATTATCTCTGTTTCACTTTGTTAATTGCAGACAAAAATACATTTATAGTATTTTACACAACAACTGCCATACTCTTTCAATCTCAAAGGCTAAAGGTGGGGGATTATGGGCACTGCAGTCCAGCCGACCAGGAGCATCTCAGGTTGGCTAGCTCTGCCACGAAGAGCACTGAGGAAAGAGGAATTCAGTTCAACTCATTCCTCTGATGAATTGTACTTACTATAAGGCAGTGTTTCTCAACCTTGGTAGCTGGAAGATGGGTGGACTTCAATTCCCAGAATCCCCCAGCCAGTGCTGCTGGCTGGGGGATTCTGGGAGTTGAAGTCCACCCATCTTCAAGCTACCAAGGTTGAGAAACACTGCTATAAGGAGAAATTTCCTGATAGTGAGACCAATCAGTGGAAGGACTTGCCTTCAGATGTTATCACTGGAGGTTTTTAAGAGTGGATGGATAGCCACTTGTCTGGAATGGTATAGGGCAGGAGTCAGCAACCCGTGGCTCGGGAGCCGCATGTGGCTCTTTCATCTCTCTGCTGTGGCTCCCTGTTGCTGGTCGGCTCCACAATTGATAGAGCTTTCAGTTAGGACAGGTAGACGAAAAAGGATGCCGTGCTAGGTGGAGACTCTATGGTGGGGGAACTGAACTTCTGGTCAGCAGAGGAAAATGGACACCACACTAGGAGGAGACTGTGATGGGGGAACCGGACTTCCGGTTGGCTCCAGAATTGAATGGGAGCTTCTGGTTATGACCTTTGTGGCTCTTTGAGTGTTTAAGGTTGCCGACCCCTGGTATAGGGTCTCCTGCTTTGTTATACTGCAGAGGTGTCAAACTCGAGGCCCGCAGGCAGGATCCAGCCTGCGAGGTGCTTAGATCTGGCCTGCGGGGCTGCCCTGGAAAGAGCAAAGGATCAGCCCGCGGTGCCTCTGCCAGCGAACATGGACTTCCAATTTCCATTTTCAGCTGGGACGGCCTCCTGAAACCCTCTGCCAGTGAAAATGGAGCTCGGGAGATCCGCACGTTTTTGCTGGCAGAGGGTTGCAGGAGGCGGTCCCAGCCGAAAACGGAGATTGGGAGCCCATTTTCACTGGCAGAGCACTCGGGCCCCCACAGGCCCCCCCTGACACAAGTGACGTCAAGCTAGCCACGCCCACCCTGTGTCAGACTATGATGCTATCTCAAAATTAAATGAATTTCCAAACTGCCAATCTTTAAGGAAATCTTTCTTTAATTGAGCACAGACACCGGATCATGACTCCGCACGGACAAGACTGACCTTTTGCCCCCCAATCCCTCCCTTTCCAATCCCCAAATCTCTGCTTCTCATTGGCTATCTTCCAAGTCATTCTTCAGACTTCTTTTCACGTCATTCCCCAGGAATGTGCCCCCTCCCCTCATTTCCACGACAACCCGGATTCAAAGGGATTTAGCAGGCAAAAGTTCCAGAGTTTATCTCTTGCTCTCCTCTGCTCTCCATGCCAGCGTTGAAACGCTGACACCTTGGCCCATTGAAGTCAAACACAACCCAGATGCGACCCTCAATGAAATCGAGTTTGAATACTGCGATACTCTATTTGACCCATCATTGGATCATTGACCCATTGACTTGGCATTCATCTCTTTCATTTTCTCCACAGGTATGTTTCCTGTGGAGGTCAGTTTGAAAGGATGCGCAAACAAAGCTCTCTGCGATAGCCTGGTTGGATATGAAGCCATGGCTCCTGAGGACAGTGGACATCACGCTATCCAATGCACACCAAACTCCTCAATCCACCAACAGGAGTTCACAACCGTCAGCCAATGGAATGACTTGAGTCTAATTCATGAGTTTTCTGGAGGTGTTAATACCGTTCCCAGATGGTTTGGACTCTTCCTCACAATCCTTTCTGGCGTCCTTCTTAGGAAACTCCTGGCTTGATTTTTGCCAAGTGTAAAGATTTCATCATTGGAAAAATGCTGAGCTGGTCTATAGTATTCCCAAATCTGGAGTCTGGTAGCACTTTTTCAGCTAAGAAAGTTTATTAAAAACAATAGGATTTTTTTTTTGAGAGCTGTAGCTTACATCCGATGTATGCTTCATTTAGATGCTTTAAATCATCAGGTCACCTAAATCCAGCTTGTTTCCAGCTTCTGTATCTTCTACAATCATAGATATTTCAAAAGAAAATCGGGAAAGGTTTGTTACTCAGAGGCTCACGGCACTTGAGTTAATGTTTTTGATGTCCAGGGGTATCCTCTAACAATAGAAGGGAAGGCTAATGTGCTGTAATGTTATCACTAACTGTGATGGTGAGAATTAATGTTCAGTTGTGATTCTCATTCACTATCAGATGGATATGCAGCCTTCAATTCCCTTCAGCATTAGCCAAGGCAGCCTTTCTTCTTTGTGATTAGTTCTAGAAACAAACTCAAAGGTTGTGATTGGAATGGAATGGAATGGAATGGAATGGAATGGAATGGAATAGAATAGAATAGAATAGAATAGAATAGAATAGAATAGAATAGAATAGAATAGAGTAGAGTAGAGTAGAGTAGAGTAGAGTAGAGTAGAGTAGAGTAAAGTAGAGTAGAGTAGAGTAGAGTTGAGTTCTTTATTGGTCAAGTGGACACACAAGGAATTTGTCTTCGGTGCATAAGCTCTCATTGTACATAAAGCTATGATCAATCATGATCATAGTCATCTTAAAAATACATTCATCATTAAATCATACGGTTGTGATTAGTAGCATTTATTAGGAAGAAAGATGTTAGTTATTACACTAGAACTCCATCCACATGCCTTTCATGTAAAGCCTCTTTATACAATTCATTCCAGTGCCAAAATCTTTTCCAATTTTTTTTTAGGGTCTTCCAACAGAAAGGAAGAGAAACAGGGACGAAAGTTTCCTGTACCTGCTTGTAATTTTGAAAACCATCAACCCCTTTCTCGATCTGTTTGAGAAACAATCTCCAGCCTGTCATGTGTGGGGAATAGATGAGAACTGATTCACTAGATAAAAGCTAAGTCTTAGGTGGAGCTGGTAAGATCAGGACCAACAGAGTGATCCCTTTCTGTAGATTCCAATTTTCAATTATTCCGACTCATATTCCCATCCATCTGCTTGTAATTTTGAAAACAACAACAACACACAAAGTTTGCATTTTCATATCCGTGTTTCCCCGAAAATAAGAACCTGTCTTATATTTTTTTGAACCCCGAAATAAGCGCATGGTCTGATTTTCGGGGAGGTCTTATTATTTTGGGGTGCATGGAGCAAGATGGGGCTCCTCTTGCCGTCTTACCTGATTTCCAGCTCTGTCTCCCTAGCCCTAACCAGAGGAAATGGCAGGGACTGGTTGCACATGCATTTAAATATTTTCGGGGAGGGCTTATTTTCAGGGAGGGCTTATTTTAGCGCATGCGTTCAAAAGCCTGATTGGGCTTATTATCAGGGGATGTCTTATTTTTGGGGAAACACGGTACCTGTTTCTCGGTCGTTGATTCCATCCAGTCAATTCCTGAGAGAAAAAGCTTGGTTACGCCAACAAACAAATTACAAGTAACAGATAGATTATTGTAGAGAGCCAGGGAAATGTCTTTGCCAGGTGGTAAGCCGGATCTGTTACCAGAGTGACAAGGGGGAAAACATGGCTTATATCCAAAACAAGCAGAAAGGATTCATAAAAGACTCAGACAGAAACCTCCCTAATTTGGATGGGTGTAAAAGGGGGAGGAGACATAACAGAATTGGATTTGCCAGATTCTACTACTCTGGCTTCTCTCTCTCTCTCTCTCTCTCTCTCTCTCTCTCTCTCTCTCTCTCTCTCTCTCTCTCTCTCTCTCTAAGTTTTTATTAGAGTTTATCGTAGTATTAAATACAAAGGGTTGAGTTAAGTTCAGAAAGAAAAAAAAAAAGGAAAAAAAGGGGAATGACTTCCGGCTCTTTTGTTGTGCAGTACAATACAAAATGCAGTTGTCACCTCAACTTTTCGGCTTTGTATTTCTAGTAAATCGCTTCAATAACAACAATGTTAATCTAGTCTTCGAAACCCAAGACCAAAGTTTTTTCTTTTTTGTTTTCCTGTTTTGAGCATAAAGTCAGTGGTGGGATTCAAGTAATTTAACACCCGGTTCTCTGCCCTAATGATTTCTTCCAACAACCAGTTCACCAAACTGCTTAGAAAGTTAACAACCGGTTCTCCCGAAGTGGTGCGAACTGGCTGAATCCCACCACTGCATAAAGTCCAGAAGTGGTTCCCAGGTGGAAACAAACCGGATACGTTTTTCCTCTTTAATTAAAACAGCTTTGACACCCTCATCGTTTTTTTTCTACCCATTTTCCCTTGTGCAGATTGACTTATATATTGTAGCCATTCTCAATAAAAACAGTCCGTCTTGTCATTTTTCTTATACATTACTTTGAACCGGATGAGGAATCCTCTTTTGAAAGGGGTGTGTGTGTGTGTGTGTGTGTGTGTGTGTGTGTGTGTATGGCAGGCAGCTGTTCTCAGAGCAGTTGCCTGCGGATTGCATCACCGCAGGCTACTTAAGGACTTAATTCTTCTCCTCTCCAACCTGCAGCCTTTATTGATGGAGGCTAATTCCATTTGCAAACAGATGTTATCGAATTGGCTCTGCTTGTTGTGGTCCACCAGCAGCCTGTGGAGCTGGCAGCAGAGTCAGACAGTGAAGAGGCTGGGGAGGAACATGGGCCAGTCCTGGAGTCTGGGGAAGGCCTGGACGAGGGCTCTGCATCGGAGGCAGAGATGGGGCCAGGGCCATCTGGGAGTGATGCGCGGACTCCGGAGCCTCCAGAATCGGACAGCAAAGAGGCAGAGGAACAGGAGGAGCCTGTTCCTAGTGCGCACATGCGCAGAGCTGCCAGAAGGCATGAACAGTTAAAATAAAAGGGACGACTTGGGAGAAAGGCCTGGAGATGATTAGCCCCTCTCATAACGCTTAAAAGAGGAACAATGGCACATGGGCACTTTGCAGGAAAGCAAAGTTGTTAATTCTGTTCCCAGTCGGCATCTCTGTTTGATTCTGAAATCCGTGTGGCTTTGCCAAATAGGTCTTTGGCAGAGTGTCAAGGGAGCTAAAGGTTGGTGATTATCGCAAAGGACTTCTCCCAAAGGACTTTTTGCAACTAATTGGGACTCAGCTGTGAATGAACATAGTAATTCACAGCTGTTGCAATAAAAGAGGTTTTTGGGACTACTCGTGTGTTTTAATGACTCAGGAAGCCTAGGTCCCAACACTGCTCTGCTCTCTGGCAGCCGTGTTTATTTTTATCAAGGAGAAGTGGCCTACTTCTTCTAGCATCACTTCACTTGATTTCTTTTCTCCCCTGGGATGGGGGACATCCCTCATGCAGTGGTTGCTAGGGTACTTATACATTTTAAAATATCAAATAATATATCATCCCAGATAATACCTTTTTCAGTTTGTCTAAAAGACCCTCCTTCTTTTCACATTTCTGATGATGGATGGACGTTTAAGCCAGTGGTGGGATTCAAGTAATTTAACAACCGGTTCTCTGCCCTAATGATTTCTTCCAACAACCAGTTTGCCAAACTGCTCAGAAAGTTAACAACCGGTTCTCCCGAAGTGGTGCGAACTGGTTGAATCCCACCACTGGTTTAAGCTGATGTTTGGGACAGGTAAGGACATAGGTTATTAACAGAACTGGGAATCCAGATGTTTGAGACAGCTAAAGGCATGGACTATTAAAAGAACTGGGAATCCAGATGTTTGGACTTGCAAGATTCTATTACTGTAACCTTACAATAAAAATATTCCAATGTTGGTTCTTTTTATCTGGATTAGCTTGAAGGGCTGGTACGTACCGTGGCAAGATATGGCCAGGAGGTGGCACTATAGCAATGATATCATTACTTCCTTTTCACTCACCAGAAAGACAGATAACAGAGTTGGAAGGGACCTTGGAGGTCTTCTAGTCCAACCCCCTGCTTAGGCAGGAAACCCTACACCACTTCAGACAAAGGGTTATCCAACATCTGCTTAAAAACCTCCAGTGTTGGAGCATTCACAACTTCTGGAGTCAGGTTGTTCCACTGATTAATTGTTCTAACTGTCAGGAAATTTCTCCTTAATTCTAAATTGCTTCTCTCCTTGATTAGTTTCCACCCATTGCTTCTTGTTCTGCCGTCAGGTGCTCTGGAGAATAGCTTGACTCCCTCTTCTTTGGGGCAGCCCCTGAGATATTGGAACACTGCTATCATGTCACCCCTCTAGTCCCGTGATGGCGAACCTATGGCACGCGTGGCAGAAGTGGTACACAGATGCCTTTCTGTGGGCACGCACACTGTTGCCAGCTGGTTTACGCATGCACCTGAGTGCCGGAAATCCGAAGAGTAGCTGGCTGTTGTGTGCATGTGCACCGGCCAACTGGACTTCATGTTTCTCGGGCTTTTTCTTTCTTCCTTCTTCTTTTTCTCCTTTCTTCTTCTTCTTTTCTCTTGAATACACTCTGCATTTGCATAGAAAACTACTGAGAAGCCATAGAAGCACAGGGAACCTGCTGGTGGGATCTGATAAGAAAAATGGCACCAATAAAGGAGAATATTTGTAGCTCAGGGTTGACATGAGGGGTCCTTGGTGTTCTCTGAGCTTGGTGGTTTTCTTGCAGACGTTCCATTAACCAAACTAGGTAACATCATCAGTGCTAGCGTTAGCTTTCTTGACCTCTCAAGAAAAAGACTGTTTTGCTTTGCATTCTGCTTCAGTAGCATGGTCTGATCCTACATCAGTACAAGTAGTCCTCGTTTAGTGGCCACAACCGGGATCAGAAGGATGTGAGGATGGGTGGTAAAGTTGCTTAATTCAGCACTGTTGTAACTGCAGACGGCCACTAAATGAGACAGTCGCTAAACAAGGGCTGCTTGTGGTCGAATAAGCCAGGAATCTCTTTCAATCTCTTTCAGATACATAGCATTTTATGGGCCAAAGATGTTTATATGCACCAAAGACAAATTCCTTGTGTGAACAATCACACTTGACCTATTCTATTCTATTCTATTCTATTCTATTCTATTCTATTCCATTCTATTCCATTCCATTCCATTCCATTCCATTCCATTCCATTCTATTCTATTCTATTCTATTCTATTCTATTCTTCTTGAATGGAATGGTCCCAAATGACTCTCTCTCTCTCTCTCTCTCTCTCTCTTTCCTTCCTTCCTTCCTTCCTTCCTTCCTTCCTTCCTTCCTTCCTTCCTTCCTTCCTTCCTTCCTTTCTCTCTCTCTCTCCCACTCCCTCCCTCTCCCCCTCCCCCTCCCTCTCTCTATCTCCCTCTCTCCCTCCCTCCCTCCCATCCACCCCTCTCTCAAAAGAAAATTCTACCAGATTTGGAACAGTTCAAGAATAGTTTAGCCATTTCCCTCTCCCAGTGTTGAAATCTATATTGACCACCTGGTGAATTTTTAATCCCAAATAATACTATCATGTTCACAAGCTGATCCAGCAGGCTACATACAGATAGGTTATCCTTGAAAAGGACAGTGAACTGGCCAAAGTTTTACCTTTTTTAAAAATTCTCTATCTGGGTGGAAAGTAAATATAGCGGCGGTTGAAAGGTGTTTCCAAAAACATTCCAGCTCTCCTACAAAAAGGAAACACAAAAGGGAGAAGGAGCTGTGCCCGTTGACTGGTAGCATCTGGCAGTCTCTGAGAAAAATTACTGGCTGCAGCTTCTTGAAGCTCTACGTAAGTTCCTTCCTCCTTCTTAAGGGTTGAGGATCCTTCTAACCAAGACTTGGTTTCCTTTCAGGGGACAATATCCTATACATATTTGTATTCTGGCTTTCCTCTGTGAAGGTCCACATGGTGGTGTGGACCAGGTTTACCCTTTCCTTTTTACCTGACTTCAAGGTGGGCAGATGCTGACCTTGGTTGAAGGACACAGGGAGCCTTTGTTTGTTGTGTAGATAGTAAGAGTGGAGTTTACGCTTCCAACCTAAGTTTTCTCTGAAACTTATCTTGAAAGCCAGGGAAATTTGTGTACGGGTATATGTGTGAGATGGAGATGATGGTGAGTCCCCATCCAGTGTTTCAAATGATCTGGGAGCTCAATGGAAGGCAGGAAAACAGAATAAAAGAGTTGGAAGGGGCTTTGGAGGTCTTCTAGTCCAACCTGCTTTCTGCTTAAGCAGAAAACTCTATCATTGTCCAATCTCTTCTCTTAAAAACCTTGAATGATGGAGCACCCATAACTTCTGAAGGCAAGTCGTTCTACTCATTAATTGTTTTAACTGTCAGGAAATTTCTCCTTAGTTCTAGGTTGCTTCTCTCTTTGATTATTTTCCATCTACTACTTCTCTTCCAGCTTTCAGGTGGCTTGTGGAGAATAGGTTGACCCCCTCTTTGTGGCAGCCCATCAAATATCGGAACACTGCTATCATGTCACCCCAAGTCCTTCTTTTCATTAAACTAGACATCCCCAGTTCCAGCAACCGTTCTTTGTATGTTTTAGCCTCCAGTCCCCTAATCATCTTTGTTGCTCTTCTCTGCACTCTTTCTAGAGTCTCAACATCTTTTTATATTATGGTGACCAAAACTGATTGCAGTAGTCCAAGTGTGGCGTTACCAACCCAGTCCTTTTTTTCATTAAACTACTAGACACACTTAATGTCTACCAAAATAACCCATGTCAACCAAAGCAAGTCCTATAGATCCCAATAATGATTTTTTAAATGAAGTAACTTTCATACATCTTGGTAATAACTAAGCCATTGACTTCAGTGGCCAAACAGGCAACAGAGAAAAATGTAGTTATTACCAGGAGCTAACATAATCCCTTCTGAGAGTGATGTTTGTTTCTAGATTTGTATTTTTTCCATTCTTCCTATTTTTTTTTAAAGCCATTAAAAGGGGGAAAAGATTCTTGAAAGTGGTTTGTTATTGTTATTTGAAAACTGGCACTATGAGAAATTTATACCGACATTATACTTGTTTCTGTCACCCATTTCCTCCCACTTATGACTGCATGACTGTAACTTTGTTGCTTATATCCTTATGATTTATATTGATATTGATTGCTTCCTGATTGCTTATTTATACTCTATGACTATCATTAAGTGATGTACCTTATGATCCTTGATGAATGTATCTTGTCTTTTTATGTACACTGACAGCATATGCACCAAGACAAATTCCTTGTGTGTCCAATCACACTTGGCCAATAAAGAATTCTCTTCTCTTCTCTTCTCTTCTCTTCTCTTCTCTTCTCTTCTTCTCTTCTCTTCTTCTTCTCTTCTCTTCCTTCTCTTTCTCTTCTCTTCTCTTTCCCCATCTCTTTCTCTTCTCTTCTCTCTCTTCTCCTCTCCTCTCCTCTCCTCACTCCTCTCCTCTCCTCTCCTCTCCTCTCCTCTCCTCTCCTCTCGTCTATTCTATTCTAATTCTATTCTATTCTATTCTATTCTATTCTATTCTATTCTATTCTATTCTATTCTATTCTATTTCTATTCATATACACCAAAGACAAATTCCTTGTGTGTCCAAACAAACTTGGCCAATAAAGATTCTATTCTATTCTATTCATTATGTTCCTGGTCCTGTTTCTTTCTGCTTTCTCTTCCAGGTATTTCTATCCAGATTGCCCTGGGCATCAATCATCTTGTTCTCCACCATGAAGTTCCTCTTATTCTGTTGTCTCTTTGGCACTTTCTTAGCTACAGGTGAGAAGACATTGGGAGCAATTCAAGAACCCTTGCCTAGCAGGACTCCAGGCAGGTCTCAGGTGTCCACAGAAGGGGGTCAGAAAAGCCAAGATGGTGCCCACCACCGTGTGACTGAAACCCCAGCCATGATTATAATTATTTTTGCATGTGTTAGAAAACAGGCAGAGCTTGGATTGCATAGTTATGGCTCCTTTCTATATTTATTTTTTTGTTCCCCCAGCCATAGTTGCCTGTAGGAGAAGTAGGGGCGCCCCTCACATTGTAGATCTCATTCGTTCATTCATTTTAATGTAAGCCAGAATTTGAAGACCTATGGACTTCAATTCTCAGAAGCTATGCTGGCTGGGGAATTCTGGGAGTTGAAGTCCCCTCCATCTAAAAGTTGCCGAGTTGGAACCCCCGTGCTAGGCCATCGTGCCATCCGCCTACATAAGGCAGATATTGGGCTAATCCAGTGATGAAATTCAATTTTTTTTATTACCGGTTCTGTGGGTGTGGCTTGGTGGTGTGGCAGGGGAAGGATACTGCAAAATATTATCCATTCCCACCCAACTCTGGAGCCAGCCGGAGGTGGTATTTGCCAGCTCTCCGAACTACTCAAAAATTTCCGCTGCTGGTTCTCCAGAACCTGTCGGAACCTGCTGGATTTCACCCCTGGGCTAATTCCATCAACAAGTTGAGGGGTTTGTCAAAAGAAGGTCTTGACAAGAAAGACAGATGGACTGGGTTATGATGGCATGAATCACCGTTTGTCGTGTGGGTGGGGCAGGGCAAGCACTCCCATAGAAAGCATCCAGAAACAATGTTGTATCTTCTTCCTCTAGGCATGTGTCTCGACTGTGAACAATGTGTGATGTGGGGCCAGAATTGTACCGGCTGGAGAGAAACCTGTGAAAATAATGAAGATACTTGTGTTACCTATCAAACTGAAGTGATAAGACGTATGAAATATTAAGAGTCATGGGATAGACAGGCAGATGGATTCAGGTAGTCCTCGATACAGGTGGTCCTAAATCATTCATTCAGGGACCATTCAAAGTTGCCACGGCACTGAAAGGGGTGACTTATGTCAGTTTTTCACACTTATGACAGTTGCAACGTCCCTGTGGGTCAGGTGATCAGAATTCGGACACTTGGCCACTCTTGGCGTGTCTTGATGACGGTCGCACTGTCCCCCACGAGGACAGTGTCCTCCCTGTCCTCGTGATGCCCTTTTGTGACCTTCTGACAAGCAAAGTCAAGGGGGAAAAGCCAGATTCACTTAACAACCAGGTGACTCACTTAACAACTGCAGTGATCCACTGAACGACTCTGGCAAGAGAGGTCGTAAAATGGGGCAAAGCTCACTTAACAAATTGTTTCGTTTATCCATTCGGGGGCTCAGCTGTGGTCGTAAGTCGAGGACTACCTGCTATTTCCATCTAGTGGTCATTCAGCGTTTTAACCTACCAAGGAATCCTTGAATCTCAAATAAAATGCCTTTCTCTTCTTTGTTTCGCACCTGTGCAGCCCCTCTGTCCATCACTTTCACTGCAAAAGCCTGTGGCACCTCTGACACTTGCCATCTTGACTACGTGGAGACAAATCCACATAATGAACTAACATTGAGGGCCAAACGAGCCTGCTGTACAGGGAATGAATGCGAAACTCTGCCACCTCCTGGTATGTAGCTCTAAGAAGCCCATCTCAGCCCCAATGGACAATATTGAAGGACCCTGTGAGGCAGTAGTGGGATTCAAATCCCGTCGCTACTGGTTCGCTCCTGGGCTTCTGCGCATGTGCAGAGATGTCCGGGCAGAGCCTTCGGCCACCATCGCTACCGGTTCTCTCTCCTGATCCGGAGCGAACCAGTAGCAACCCACGACTGCTGTGAGGCGAACTCTAAGCTCTGCTCTAGGGCTGCCCATTTCTGATTGCAACCTTGTCAGAGCGAAGGGTTAAACCTTAACCCTGTATTTAAAGCGTCTCTCGCTAAGGAGTGAAAGAAACTCGCTCCTGCTGGCTGGGGAATTCTGGGAATTGAAGTCCTCTCATCCTAAAGTTGCCAAGATTGAAAAAAAAAAAACACTGTACTAGAGGATAATAGGCTTTGAGCAGATCCTATGAGCAGAATCTGAAGATATGTCTTGAGTTCACCTTCCTGGAATGGAGTGGAGTGAGTGGAGGGGAGTCGAGGGGAGGGAGGGTATGGAGGAGAGGAGAGGAGAGAGAGGGGGAGGGGAGGGGAAAGAGAGGAGAGGATGGATGGGGGAGGGGAGAGGGGAGGGGAGGGGAGGGGAAGGGAGGGGAAGAGAAGAGAGGAGAGGGGGGAGAGGGGAGGAGAATAGAATAGAATAGAATAGAAAAATAGAATAGATAGAAAGAAATAGAATAGAATAGAATAGAATAGAATAGAATAGAATAGAATAGAATAGAATAGAATAGAATAGAATAGAATAGAATAGAATAGAATAAATATTGGCCAAGTATGATTAGATACACAAGGAATTTGTTTCCAGAAGCTCTCAGGGCAGAGAGAAGGGTGTCATGCCCCTGTGGGAAGGTTTTACTTTTTACACAGATGGGAGAAAAGTTCCTATTTTTTCCCCAGGAATATCCTGCTTGATGTATCAATTACGACTAGAATTCAGGCATTACACAATGTTGAATTTCCAATTGAGGGTTGAATCCATGCATACCATTGTTTTTGCTATGACTACGCTTGGAATTCCCAAATAGGACCAGCTACCATCTGTCTACCTACAGCTGAGATTCCCAAATAGAGAATCTAACCTGAGATCAGCCAGCCCTCCCATGCTTTCCAGGAGCTTAAAATCCAAGAAGACTCCCTGGATCTCCAGGGAAATATAGTTTGAGGGATCAACCAGCTCTCCCAGGCTTTCTGGGAGCTTAAAAAAGCAGGGTGGCTTCTGGAACTCCAGGGGAAAGGTCTTCCCTGGGGCAGGGGCTGCCATAGTAAGCTTCCTAGGTCCCACAAAAAGACCTTTCTTAAGAGAAAGGATGTTCAACATCCTAGCCTAGCCTTACCCAGTCTGATAAAGCAGGCAGCAGGGAGAGGAGAGTCGTACAAATCATCTTCTCGCTCTTGTTCTTGGCAGTGCTTGAATCCCAAATCCACCGACCCAATGGACTTCAGTGTCCTGGATGCATTGGACTCACCTCAACTGAATGCAATGAATACCTGGTTTCCTGCCAGGGATCTGAAAACCAGTGTATGACTATAATGATGAAGAAACCTGGTAAGGACAGACTCCCTTTAGAATTGTGATTCGAGAGTGGGAGGCCCGACATGAGAAATCAGGATTTTGGAGTAGTTAGTCAGAGACTTCTCGAACAGAAGGAGTAGAAGGGATTCGAAATGCAGCTGATCCTGTTTTTTTGCACAGGAAAGCAAACCAAGTTAATGCCCCAGAAGAGTAACACCAGCCGCTACAGATCAGGCTCAAACATCGCTAGATGTTACCTGTGTTGATAAACAGAGATATCTTTGCAGTAATATCCCAATTAAACAGCTAAGGGCAATGCGTCCATCTCACAACGATTAAAGGCCTATCAAAGTTTCAAAATAATGGAGGAAAGTAAGATGCCGGCTCTTCATAAATGATTTTGATGAGGGAATAGAAGGAGAATTCATCAAATCTGCAGACGACACCAAGTTGGCAAGAATTGCCAACCCCCCAGAAGGACCTTCTCAGATGGACCTTCTCAGATGGACCTTCTCAGATGGACCTTCTCAGATGGATTTTCTCAGATGGACCTTCTCAGATGGACCTTCTCAGATGGACCTTGATGGACCTTCACAGACTTGACGGACCTTGACAGACTTGAACAATGTGTCCTATCTAACAAAATGAAATTCAATGCAGAGAAAAGCAAGGTCTTACATTCAGGTAAGAAAAATGCACAGGTATAGAACAGGTGAAAAAATGCACAGGTATAGAACAGGTGAAACATGTACCTATAAAACTTTATTCACATTGCATGGAACACAGAGTTCTGTGATGTCCATTTAGATGTGTATGTTTTTTTACAGTAGCCAAATACGGAGCCAACAGATACATGGCTTTGCTAGCACTCTGACTGTGCTAATATTAACTTTGGAAGATGGGGACATGGGTGCAAGACCATGGATTACACCACACTCTTCCGAAACAAATAAAACCTTCATAATAGAACATCATGATTCTGGGAAGTCTGCTACCACATAGATAATTGACTCTTAATATAGATACAACTTGTCAATTATTAGTGAAGTTCAAGAGTGGACTCAGAGCCCATGTTGCAATGGAAGCCACATGGAATAGCTTACGGAGAGGCTGGAGAGGCCATGTAAGGATGCCTAGAATCCTTCTTATCAAACTAACCCATCTTCTGACATTGGCTGTTACAAGCAAGCATCATGGGTAGTCTTCAACATATGACCACAATTGGGACCAGAATTCCCATTGCTAAGCAAGGTGCTTGTTAAGTGAGTCATACGCCTGATCCGCCAGTTGCAACCCTTTCTTGATTGGGATTCCCTGTGCACAGTCACTCATGGAGGCTCCAACTGGTCCAGAATGCGGCCGCGCGGGTAGTTAGGGGAGCTGCCTGGCGCTCCCATATAACATCTCTCCTGCGTGAGCTGCACTGGCTCCCAGTGGTCTTCTGGGTGCGCTTCAAGGTGTTGGTTATCACCTTTAAAGCGCTCCATGGCATAGGACCTAGTTATCTTCGAGACCGCCTGCTGCTACTGACGGCCTCCCATCAACCTGTGCGCTCCCACAGAGAGGGCCTCCTCAGGGTGCCATCAGCCAAACAATGTAGGCTGGTGACCCCCAGGGGGAGGGCCTTCTCTGTGGGGGCACCTACCCTCTGGAACCAGTTGCCCCCGGAGATAAGAAGAATCCAGGACCTCAATGCCTTCCGTCGTTCCCTGAAAACCCATCTTTTTCAGCAAGCCGGGTTGGCTTAAGAAGAAATTTTTAAATTCTTTTAATTAGTCTGTGATTCTTAACTTTCGGGCCAAAATTTATATATATTTTTAAATGTTTTAATATTTGTATTCTATGTTTTTTATCTTGGCTGTACACTGCATGTTGCTTCATTTTCAGATTGTATTAGAGGCAGTCCTCGATTTACAACAGTTCATTTACTGACCATTCAAAGTTACGACAGCACTGAAAAAAATGTGGCTGATGACCGTTTTTCACTGTTACGACCTCCGCAGCATCCCCATGGTCACGGGATCCAAATTCAGGTGCTTGGCAAATGGCTCCTATATATGTAACACCACTCCTGTGCGAGCTGCACTGGCTCCCGGTGGTCTTCCGGGTGCGCTTCAAGGTGTTGGTTATCACCTTCAAAGCGCTCCATGGCATCGGGCCTAGCTATCTTCGAGACCGCCTGCTGCTACCGACAGCCTCCCATCGACCTGTGCGCTCCCACAGAGAGGGCCTCCTCGGGGTGCCATCAGCCAAACAGTGTAGGCTGGTGACCCCCAGGGGGAGGGCCTTCTCTGTGGGGGCACCTACCCTCTGGAACCAGCTGCCCCCAGAGATAAGGAGAATCCAAGACCTCGGTGCCTTCCGCCGTGCCCTTAAAACTTTCTTTTTTCAGCAAGCCGGGCTGGCTTAACACTTTTTTAAAAAAATGTTTTTAATTGTTTTGTCATTGCTTTTAATTATGGGGCCAAATTTACATATATCTTTTTAATTGTATTTTAATGTTTGTAGTTTATGTTTTTACTTTGGCTGTACACCACCCTGAGTCCTTAGGGAGAAGGACGGTATATAAATTTGATATAAAATAAATAAAAAATAAATAAAATACCCAAAGTTACAACCTTTTTTTTTTTTTTTGCCACACTTAAGTACTCTAGATAGGATAACAGAATAACAGAGTTGGACTTCTAGTCCAACCTCCTGCTCTACCATTTCAGACAAATGGCTGTCCAATCTCTTCTTAAAAACCTCCAGTGTTAGAGCCCTCACAACTTCGGAAGGAAAACTGATGGTGGTGCAGCAGATTAAAGTGCTGTTAAATGCTAGCATTTAGCTGCCAGCTGCCTGCAATTAGTGCAAGTTCGAATCTCACCAGGCTCAAGGTTGACTCAACCTTCCATCCTTTCGAGGTAGGTAAATTGAGGACCCGGATTTTGGGGGCAATAAACCAACTTTGTATAGAACAACACCGCTTTTTTTTTTTTAATTTGATTTATATGCTGCCCTTCTCCGTAGACTCAGGGCGGCTTACAATGCGTTAAGCAATAGCCTTCATCCTTTTGAATATTTGTATAGATAAGTCAGCTTATTGCCCCCACAACTGGGTCCTCATTTTACCTACCTTAGAAAGGATGGAAGGCTGAGTCAACCTTGAGCCTGGCGGGATTCGATCTTACTTTAATTGCAGACAGCTGGTGTTAAATTACAGAGCTCTGCCTGTTGAGCTATTCCAGGCTCCTTAGGGCTTGGGGGGCCCGAAAGCCCTAATAAGCAGGTATATACAAAAAAGTATGCAGGCTGTTGCTATAATGCATTGTAAGCCGCCCTGAGTCTACGGAGAAGGGCGGCATATAAATTGGACTAATAAATAAATAAATAAAAGCCATTCCACTGATTAATTGTTCTAATTGTTAGGAAATGTCTCCTTAGTTCTAGGTTGGTTCTCTCCAACTCGTGGAGAGTTTTCCCATTCCACCCTGGAGATGGCTGATGGTTTGAGGCCAGTCCCTATAACTTGCTAAACATTTATCTTTGTTAACTCTGATTTTTTTTTTCTTTTTACTTGTAATTTGTAAATTTGAATCTTGTTTTCAATGCTGTCTTCAATTTGCTTTTAATATGATTTCATGATGTTGTTTGGGAAAAAAACACAGAGTGAAATGGGCAGTGTAGAAATTTGGTAAATGAATAAATAAAATCAAGGTTATCCTTGTCTAGGTCCTGAGCCTGGGGGTGATTCATCCCTCCGAGTCTTTGCTAATGTTGTCTTGAGGCTGGGACTGTTTGACTAATGATGGTGCCTCTTTGGTTACTGACCTCAACCTGGTTTATCTTTAACTGGTTATCTTTATCTGGTTCCAGGCCTGAGCAGCTACTTGATAGTTTGACTTGATGGCTGTTATTGGACTTTGCTTAGAGTGGGGATAAAAAGGTAAAATTCCATGGCTTGAGCCAATGACAGTAAAGAATAGAAGTGTTTTCAAGGCTATGTTCTCAGCATTGCAAATTTTCTAGATGGTCACCTAAGTTGAAATGGTTTTTGGATCAAACCAACGTTGTGTTTGCTTTTGGATTAGCAGGCTGGCCCTAAATTATGGGAGGGGTTTCCCATTTTTAAACTTGTGTCTGCTTCATGTTGCGAAGAGTCTCTGGTTTCAGCAGAGTCCAGAACTTCACTGAGGTCAACGTATCCTATCCAGCTCTGATCTTCATCTTGAGCCATGAAATCTCTACAGATCATCTGTCTTCTTTTCATTTTTGTAGCCAGAGGTAAGGAGATCATCATGTGATGTCATCATGACTTTTAGCAGACTTAAGGTCTCTTTTGCAGAGGAGAGCAACGAAGATGATTAGGGGAACTGGAGGCTAAAACATATAAAGAACGGTTGCTGGAACTGGGCATCTGTAGTCTAGTAAAAAGAAGGACTCGGGGGTGACATAATAGCAGGGTTCCAATATCTCAGGGGCTGCCACAAAGAAAAGGGAGTCAAGGTATTCTCCAAAGCGCCTGAGGGCAGGACAAGAAGCAATGGGTGGAAATTAATCAAGGAGAGAAGCAACTTAGAACTAAGGAGAAATTTCCTGACAGTTAGAACAATTAATCAGTGGAACAACTTGCCTCCAGAAGTTATGAATGCTCCAACACTGGAGGTTTTTAAGCAGATGTTGGATAACCATTTGTCTGAAGTCGTGTAGGGTTTCCTGCCTAAGCAGGGGGTTGGACTAGAAGACCTCCAAGATCCCTTCCAACTCTTCTCTTCTCTTCTCTTCTCTTCTCTTCTCTTCTCTTCTCTTCTCCTCTCTGGGTGACCCCCATTCTATAAGGGTCTCTCCTACCACCACCACCTGCAAAGATATTGCTGAACCTGCGATCTTCTGAATGGAAAGCAGTCACCTTACTGCCCTTGTGAAACGCAGCCCTTGTCCCCATATCAACTCTCCTGAAATGCCCAGCCCTTCTCCCTGCTCTTTTGAGCATTTCTTGGTTTGCTGAATGACTTTCCTTTCCCTCCAACAAATGTAACTCTTCAGGAATTGGATTCCTCAACCCTGACATTTCAAAATAAGGAAGCACCGGGGGAAGGCATAACTAAGATAATAGAATTAATCAGGCACGCTCTTTTCTTTCTTTTCTCCTTTTCAGGAAGCTTTCGCTCATGTGAAATGTGTCACAACGTGGGAACTGATTGTGGCTATGGTCACGTAGAGGAGTGTCACTCTCCAGAAGATCAATGCGGCAAGGTGTTGCTGGAGATTTCGTTAGGTAAAACCACAGTGACTGCTCCCCTCGTTTCCTTCCAATCAAAGGAGAATCTTTTCTAAGGTCTCCTTTCCTGGAGGAATAATTTTCTCAACATATGGTCTGAGCTGGAGACAACATGCACAGTCCTCATCCATGCATATAAAGAATAGTTGCTAGAATTGGGTATGTCTAATCTAATGAAAAGAAGGGCTAGGGGTGATAAGATAGCAGCCTTCTGATATTTGAGGGGCTGCCCCAAAGAGGGGGTCAACCTATTCTCCAAAGCACCTGAGGGCAGGACAAGAAGCAATGGGTGGAAACTAATCAAGGAGAGAAGCAACCTAGAACTAAGGAGAAAATTTCCTGACAGCTAGAACAATTAATCAGTGGAATGAGTTGCCTCCAGAAGTTGTAAATGCTCCAACACTGGAGGTTTTTAAGAAGAGATTGGACAACCCTTTATCTGAAGTGGTATAGGGTTTCCTGCTTGAGTAGGGGGTTGGACTAGAAGACCTCCAAGGTCCCTTCCAACTCTCTTATTCTGTAGAGGCTTCTTCAGTACATCATAGAACAGTTTTCCTTTAGCCTGCATTGTGAATGTTTTATTTTATTTTCTATTCTAAACTGGCCGTAAGTCAGGTCTACCTGTATAGGATACAAAAATACCAAAAAAAACGCAGAAAATAGTAAGAAAGATAGGGAAGGGAAAAGTGTGGGGAAAAAGAGGAAAAAGAAAGAAAAGATGTTGGCTTCCGACTTCGTTTGGTGCAGTAGAATAAAATAATAACATCAAACCTCAACCTTTACTTTTACATAGTAGTATAAACTAGCGGTTTCTATAACAACAAGTCATTTTATTCAGTGTTGTTTGAACTTTGAGCAGTCACTAAAGGGAGCATTGTAAGGCCCTCACACAGGTTGTTCGGGATGTTTCAGAATTGCGCCTCCTTAAAGCTTTTTATCCACTGTCATGGTTCAAGGGATCACAGCCTTGGGCGGGAGGTTTCCAAAACTCCACAAATCCACCAAGTTAACTTCTTCTCCCTTGTTTTTCCTCCTCCGCACAGCACCACTTTCCATCCGATCCATTCATAAGAACTGCTTCTCATCCAGCCTCTGCAAACTTCAGCACTTCGATGTCAATGTTGGACATGAGACCTATCTGAGAGGAAGAATCCATTGTTGTGATGAAGAAAAGTGTGAAGGCCGCCCATTTCCTGGTATGTTTGCTCAGAAGGTCTAGGACCCAACACTCTCCTTGTTTCAGAGGGTCATACGGGGTTTGTGTGTGTGTGACCGGATTTTCTTCCTGCCCGGTCAAACTTCCTCCCCTCCCCATCCAACAATAGACTGCTGATTTAGTCCTTGCTGATAATCTTTTACGGGTATTTTTTTTTTAAAAAAAAATCCAATTTGTCAATCTATTGACATTGATTTACTGGTTCAGCTTCCCACATGGGTCTCAGGTTAAAATTATATTATTATTATTATTATTATTATTATTATTATTATTATTATTATTATTATTATATAATATTATATAATATTATTATATAATATTATATAATAATATTATCAAGGTTGACTCAGCCTTCCATCCTTTCAAAGGTAGGTGAAATGAGGACCCAGATTGTGGGGGCAATAAGCTGACTTTGTATAAAATATACAAAAGTATGAAGGCTATTGCTTAACGCATTGTAAGCCACCCTGAGTCTCCGGAGAAGGGCGGCATATAAATTAAAGCAAAAAAAAAAAAATTTATTATTTTATTATTATTTGTTATTTGTCAAAGACGTAAGATAACAGATATAAGTATAAACATGATTATGAATACATGAAATGGATACGAATAAAAGGCGACAGTAGGGCAGGGACGTTGGTGCGTTTATGCACACCCCTTACAGACCTCTTAGGAATGGGGTGAAGTCAGGGGTGAAATGCTCCCGGTTCTAGGACCCAACACTCTCCTTGTTTCAGAGGGTCATACGAGGTTTGTGTGTGTGTGTGACCGGATTTTCTTCCTGCCGGGTCAAACTTCCTCCCCTCACCATCTAACAATACACGCTGATTTAGTCCTTGCTGATAATCTTTTACGGGTATTTTTTTTAAATCCAATTTGAGTGGGAGGGCAGAGATGTAAACTCCCCCCCCATCCACTTTTAGGAACTAAAAATACTGGAGCAAAGTTGAGGCAGCACAAAAGACTTCCTTCCTTGAGTTTGATAAGGTCATTTCCAGTTCATTTTAAACCTTCTGTATGCACAAGTTTGCACTCTCTTCCTTGGAGGTTCAACATTTGATGGATTGATTACGTGGCATTATATCCTTCCTGACTCCTAGTGTGACCTCACAGATTTTCTCCTCAAGGATCTGTCCCACACCTGATCCTTCAGCTGTTCCAATGGGGAACCCATTGCTACCGTAGCTTAGTCTACCCGTCCGGCTGCTGGCCATCTTCTCTTTCCTTCCACCTTTCCCAGCATTACAGCCTTCTCCAAAAAAATTTTGTGAGTCTTCACAAAATGTGTCTGAAATAGGATAATTTGAGCCTGGTTATGTGTACTGGATAGGACTGAACTAAGTAATTCGGCTCTTCCCAAGTCCCAACTCCAGCCATTCCTAGTAGGCAGGTATAGTACTGTCTTTTTCTTGCTAATCCATGAGCAGAAATGTCTATGGAGATTCTCGGTCATCTAAGGTCATGGTTGTCCGAAAGATGCTTTTTTCAAAAGGCAACTGGACTTCCTTTGGTTTTCCTTGAAGACGTTTCGCTTCTCATCCAAGAAGCTTCTTCAGTTCTGAGTGAATGGTGGTGAATGGAAGGATTTATATTTCTTGCAGTCATCTGGTCGTTAGTGCTCTCTCTGAGAGTCTCTGAGGCCACTTGGAAGTTTATATATGCCCTCAGGATCATCTGAATAGTGCAAATGAGTGTGGAACCACCTATCTCCTGTTTACAACGTAGTCCACGGCAGTTCTAAGAAGGTTCCACACTCATTTGCACTATTCAGGTAACTCTGAGGGCACAGATAAACCTCCAAGTGGCCTCAACAAATATCAGAAAGAGTGCTAAGGTCCAGACGACCATCAGAAGGCATGTCTATGGAGATTCTCAGTCATCCAGGTCATGGTTGTCCCAAAGGTGCTTTTTTCAAAAGGCAACTGGACTTTGTTTTTCCTTGAAGACGTTTCACTTCTCATCCAAGAAGCTTCTTCAGTTCTTTTTTCAGAACCGAAGAAGCTTCTTGGATGAGAAGGGAAACGTCTTCAAGGAAGAACAAAGAAAGCCCAGTTGCCTTTTGAAAAAAGCTGCCCTGAGTCTTTGGAGAGGGGCGGCATACAAATTGAATGAAAGAAAGAAAGAAAGAAAAAAAGAAAGAAAGAAAGAAAGAAAGAAAGAAAGAAAGAAAGAAAGAATAAATAAATAAATAAATAAATAAACAAACAAACAAACAAACAAACAAACAAACAAACAAATAAATAAATAAATAAATAAATAAATAAATAAAAGCACCTTTAAGACACGAGCAGGAAGGTGAAGGGGGTGGAAATTGTATTTCGTTAATGTTTTGGTAATATCATTTCAAAGTTTACAAAGCACCGTAAATGCATGCAATTTTGAAAAAGGAGGCAGTAGACTCCACAAAATTCACAGACTTTTGGCATGGATGATCTTTTTGCTAATCTTTCACTTCCTTTTTGTTGTTGTTGTTGATGTTGATGTTTTATTTTGCAGGACTGCCCCTCTCCCATCCAAATGGATACGTCTGTCCTGGCGTTCTTGGTCTATTCTCAGAGGACAGCAGTGAATCTGAAGCTGCTTGCAAAGGAGATGAAACCAAATGCATTAACATTGTGGGATACAGAAAAGAAAGATGTAATTCTTATACATATATATATATTTTACTGTCTGCTGCAGCAGTCAGGCAAGGGATGATGCCAACTGTGGAGGGGTACATACAGGGGGAAACTCAGAGCCTCCCCCACTACGCTGCAAAATAGAAATGGGCTCCCAAATAGAGGCCAGTTCAGGGGTGAAATGCTCCCAGTTCGGACCGGCTCGGGCGAGTAGGTAGCGATGGCGGCGGGCAGTTCGGAGAACCAGTAGCAAAAATCCCTGCCCCCACCCCCCATGCCCAGCTGAGCCGGGCGATCATCAGAGGCTTTTTTTCTTTTAAATGCCTCTGACGATCCAAGCTCTGACGATCTCAGGCAACTCAGCTGGGATCGTCAGAGCCATTTAAAAGAAAAAAAAACTTATGTTTAAAAAACCCTCTGACGATCAGGCAACTCAGCTGGGATCGTCAGAGCCTTTTGAAAGCATTTTTTTTAACATGGTTTTACATGTAAAAAATGGTTTTAAAAGTAAAAAAAAAAAAGTGGCCATGCCCCCCCAGTCACATTACCACCACCACCCCACTAAGCCACGCCCACAAAACCGGTAGTAACAAATTTTAGATTTCACCACTGGCCCAGTTCATTTTGCAATCTTTGGTAGCAAGAGAAATAATAGTGCTGTTAGATAGGTGGATTGAAGATTGAAACTGTCCTGTCAATATCTTAACAAGTGCAAAGATACTTTTCTAAGGTGCAAAGACAACACTTGCTGGGTCCAAAGTCTAAAATTCCATCACTGGGTGTTATATATTTGTGTAATGATTTTGTCTCTTTACAAGGTGGCTATAAAAGTATGAAGCCAAGGTGGGAACTTGTGTTCACATAATATGTTTAATGTGATAAATGGGCAGGGAGGAGGGCCGAGGTGGCATAGTATCTTGAACGAAGTGAAGGATGCTGATGTAACTCCTTAAGTCACACGTCTCCAAGCTTGGCAACTTTAAGACTAGTCAACTCCCAGAATTCCTCAGACCTCTGTCCTAAGTCAATCTTTCTCAAGCTTCACAGCTTGAACATGTCTGGATTTTAACTCTTAGAATTCCCCAGCCAACATGGCTGGCTGAGGAATTCTGAGTTGTCAAGTTACCAAGGCTGAGAAAAATGGTGGGATTTAGCTGGTTCGGGCCGGTTCGGACGAACCAGTAGTCAAATTGCTGGCTGGCCCCTCCCCACTCCTCCCCGACCCTTCCAGGAGTCCCCACATGCCCCATTTTGGCTCCCAGGTAAGTACAGGGAGGCCTACTAGGCACAAAATGGGGCATGGGGGTGCAGCAGCACTACCCCCTCGCGGCCTGTTTTTGCTCCCAGGGGGCTTCAGGGAGGCCTCCTAGGCTCAAAAGGGGGCGTGGCACAGCCCCCCTCAGCCCATTTTTGCACCCAGGAGGGTGCAGGAGGCTGAATGCTGCCTGTCACACACCCCTGGCCATGCCCACGAGCCGGTCATTAGGGCAGAGAACCAGTTGTTAAATTATTTTAATCCCACCGCTGGCTGAGAACCTAGAAATAAGAAGAGACTTCTTGACGGTGAGAACAATTAATTAGTGGAACAGCTTGCCTTCACTGGAGTTTTTTAAGAAGAGATTGGACAACCATTTTGTATGAAATGGTAATAGGATCTCCTACTTGAGCAGGGGGTTGGGCTAGAAGACCTCCAAGGCCCCTTCCAACTCTGTTGTTCTGTTTTTCTGACCGGTATCTTGTTGGTTATTTCTGCAGTTCCTGGAGACATCGCTTATAATATCAAAGGATGCGTTTCTTCCTGTCCAGACCTGAAATTGAGCAATAGAACGCACGAAGAACGTAGAAATGATCTGATAAAAGTTGAATGTAGAGACGCCGCCAAAATTACACCTTCTGAATAATACCGTCACCATTTTGGAATCTGAAGGTCAGCAGTTTCATCCAATAGAACCATGGAAATGGCTCTGAATGGAAAACTTACATTTTTAACTTCTGATTCTTCCTGCCAACTAATTCTAAGAAATTAAAAAAGTAAAATAAAATAAAAGAAGCCAAGAGGCTGAGTTGGAATTGCCCATTTGTCTTTATTTTTTTATTTTGTTTTAGTTTTAGTTTTGGCTTTCTTCCCGGAGAAAGTGGTGTGGTTGGAATGGTTATATGAAAGCTAATCTTTGATATAAAAAAAGCCCATTAATTTCAATTATTTTATTTATTTGATGGATTTATAGCCTCCTTACCTGTAGACCAGTGTTTCTGAACCTTGGCTACTTGAAGATATATAGATTTCAATTCCCAGAATCCTGTTAAAACAGTGTTTCTCAAAGTTGACTAGTTGGAGCTGGACGAACTTCAACTCCCAGAATTGCCCAACAAGCGAAAGAATGTTACAGCCATCCATATCACACCACTCAATGAAGAACTTGGTCTCAGGTATGAATATCAAGACTCCCATGTGTAGATTTCAAACTAGCTACTTTATTGTTCTATGCCTATTGTACAGGAATCTTCCCAGACTGGCAGATTTACCTGGGAAAGACTAGATAAGGCTCAAAAAGAGTCAAGGGCGGGGACACCTTGCCCTCTTGTGTTTATGTAATGAGTCCAGGCTAATTCCTCATTTGATCCCTCCTCTCAGTTGGGATGGCTGCTCTCCAACTCCAGCAATGTCTGGAGGAAACCATTAATCTTTATACAATAAAAGACACCCATCAACTTGGTCACCACACCTGTACACACTTCTCACACTTCCAGCAGTGATGAAACAGGATCTCCCAGCTCCCAACGACCCAGAGAGGATGTTGATTTTTTCCAAAGATTTATTCATTTATATAGCTTATATGACCTAGGGAACCCATAACATTAAAATAAGTAGAATGTACATAAAGATAGACAAGTAAACCACAGAATACAACAAGCCAAAAGAAAAATAATAAAAACAGCCATCAACATAACTAGGAAACAGGTTCTGTCATACACCCGGGGCCCCATTCTTTAGCATGAAACCATGTTCAAGTCCCTCCGTTCTTCAGAACCACCATTTTCTGAGAACAGGCCAACACAGTATCTACCTAACTTTCTGAGCTTGTATTTCTCAACCTTAGCCATTTTAAGATGGATGGACTTCAACTCCCAGAATTCCTCAGCCAGCCATGCTGGCTGGCGAATTCTAGAAGTTGAAATCTGCCTATCTTAAAATTGGTAAGATTGAAAAATACTGCTCTACACCATGCAGCCTACTCCCTTCATCCATCATGTGTCAACGTCCATTTCCCTTAATCAATGCTTTACAGTATAGTAGCCTTCAGGGGCCTTGCTTTGCTCCTTCTGGAAGGCCACCAAGATGCAAAAGTAACCACCCCTTATATAATTGAGATGATCTGGGTTCTTCATATTCTGTCAAGGCTACGACCTGCCTAAGGCCTAAAGGGCTGATGAAGAGGCTGTCCAGGAGAAAAGTCTCAGGCAGTATTCAGGTGCCAAAGGCAAGTCATCAAGCATAGATCTCCACAAGTAAGAATCCAGCAAACACTTGGAAGAAGAAGCCAACTCTGTGGGATGCTGCTGTGACAATCGTGGCTTTTTCAGTGGCTGGCTTGCAGCTTCCTTCACCCATTAGAAAGAGTGTGGCAAAGTAGACAGATCCCTCATGAAACTGCTCACAGAAGGCGGGATTGACGCAGCCCTTCATGGCAAAGTCTACCAAGGTGAAGACATCATCTGTGGAGACAATTGCAAAAAGTGACCTTCAAAAGTGACCTTTACATCATCATCATCATCATCATCATTATCATCATCTTCATCATCATCATCATCATCATCATCAACCACACACTCAGTCAGATGTTCAGACTGGGTTTGGCATTTTTGTCTACCTATCAGATCTTTACCAAGGACCTGGGATAGGAAATCTGGATGCTTGACGGTGTTACAGATATCGTCGCAGGATGGCAGCTGTTCCATGTAAAGCCGCCTTCTGCAATTGACTGATGGCAAATTTGTCAATGCCTTTGGTGTTCAAGTGGTGCGCCAGTAGTTGTTGTTGTTGCTGCTGCTGCTGCTGTTGTTATTGTTGTTGTTGTTGTTATTGTTGTTGTTATTATTATTATTATTATTATTATTATTATTATTATTTAATCTTTAGTGAGATTCACATCCTTTGAGGCTGGTTAATAGCTCAGCAGCTCGAGTCCTAACCAAGGACCTAGGAACTGTTAAGGTATCGTCGGAGGATGTAAGCTGTTCCGAGTAAGGTGGTTTTTTGTAGAGTCAAAATGTTCAAGTCCGGCAAATTTAGAATTTCTAAATAGCGGGGTAGCCCTTTGGGTATTGCTCCGAGGGCTCCAATTACAATCGGGACAACACACGATTTCTTTTTCCACAGTCGCTCAACTTCAATTTGCAAGTCCCGGTACTTTGTGATTTTTTCTTGCTGCTTATCTTCAATTCGTGCATCACCAGGTATTGCAATGTCAATGAACCATACTTTTTTCTTTTCAACTATTGTTATGTCAGGTGTGTTGTGGACCAAGTGCCTGTCAGTCTGAATCCTAAAGTCCCACAAGATCTTGAGTTTCTCATTCTCTAAAACTTTCTCAACCTGATGTTCCCAGTGGTTTTTGCTGTACTCAAATCCAAACTTCTGGCACAATTTCCAGTGAATGATCTTAGCATTATTATTATTATTATTATTATTATTATTATTATTATTATTATTATTACTACTACTACTATTACTATTACTATTATTATTATTGAGAGCCAGTTTGATCTACTGGCTAAGGCACCAGGCTGCAGAGTGGGAGACTGTGAGTGACGTCTATGGTGATTCTCAGTCATCCAGATTTGTTGTCCCAAAGCTGCTTTTCAAAAGGCAACTGGATTTTCTTCTGTTTGGTTGTTTGTTTCTTGAAGAGGTTTTGCTTCTCATTCAATGAAGCTTCTTCAGTTCTGCAGCGTCCCGCAGTCTGGATATAAATGTTGGTTTTCAGCCAAAACGTCGTAAAATGTGGTCACGGGACTGCAGGATGGTGCAAACAGCTGTAAATGCAAGCTGGTTGCCGAGTGCTCAAGATGTGGTCACATGACCATGGGGGGGGGGGTGGAGAGCAGCTGCCAGAATATAGGAACCTGGGTGTAAGAAGCCCTCAGGAAGTCCATTGTACTTGTTGTGGCTCCGTTGCCTGAGCCTGGGCTATCGACAGATGCAGACTCTGAGAGTGAGGGAGAGGAGTTGGCAAGGCCTCCCTCTCCAGGACCCTCCTCTCTGGCAATGCCTCCAGAGGACACCAAAGGCCAAAAGATAGGCTCAGAGCCAAGCACGTCCCTGCAGCCACAGGTGGACAGCGACGAAGAAGATAAGTGCTGGCTGGACCCTCGGCAGAGGCGCAGGGAGAAGCGTGCGCAGCAGAGGGGAAGGCATGCCAGAGATTAGCTGAGTCACTGGACCACACCCCACAGGATATAAATGTGGATGTGGTGGCCGGTTCAGTTTGTGACGAGCAAAAACTGGAAATAATCCATGATCTCTGCATTACTGGACTTTGCCTGCTTTTTCGGACTGCATTTGGATTAATCCTTGTATTGTTGAAACTCTGCCTGTTTGATCGGAATGCCTGCAGTCTAATCTTTGTTTTGTGTGAGTAAAGTCTGAATTGGCAGCTAGCCACTGGGTTGCTGCCAGCTTTATCTTCAAAGAGTTTTGTCGTGTGGCTTATTAACTCCAGGCCGTCTGTGGGGGGGGGTGGTACGGGGACAGAACAGTACTTTCCAAAGTTCGCTAAGTGACCAGTCATAGGTAGGGGACTACCTATCACCCCAAATAATTAACTTTTGATCATTCAAAGACTTGAGAATGCTGTGGCTGCCTTCAGAGGCACAAAGTGTACTTTCAGGCATAGGGAAGTGTGCCCATGGCACCGGTTGGCCACTCCTTGACCCAACCCCATATTTGTCTGGGATCGCACAGGTGTCCCCTGATCTTGCAAAAATATGGCATTAGCTATGACAATTTGCCACAGCCAGGGGTGGGGCTGCTGGAGGTTCGCAGGGGTTCAAGAGAACCTCTAGCTAAGATTCTGTGCAGTTCAGAGAACCCCCACATACCACTCCTGGCTGGCCTCACCCACTCTGCCCCGCCCTTCCCAGGAATCCCCACGGGGCCCATTTTAGATGCGGAGGCTCGGGAGGGTGAAAAACGGGCCTACTGGAAGTTCAGAAAGGCCAGAAATGGGCCTGTTTCTGTCCTCCAGAACCTGGGGAGGCTGTTTTCGCCCTCCTGGAGGCTTGAGTAAAGCTTCCGGAGCCCAGGGAGGGCAAAAATTGGTTGGTTACCACCTTTAAAGCGCTCCATGGCATAGGACCCGGGTACCTCCGAGACCGTCTTCTGCCACCAGTAGCCTCCCACCGACCAGTTCGTTCCCACAGAGAGGGCCTCCTCAGGGTGCCATCGGCCAAGTTATGTCGGCGGGCGGCGCCCAGGGGGAGGGCCTTCTCTGTGGGAGCCCCAGCCCTGTGGAATGAACTGCCCCCGGAAATTCGTAAGATCTCCGACCTCCGGGTGTTTCGCTGCGCATTGAAGACCCTGTTGTTCCGCCAGGCCGGACTATCAACACAATAGTTTTAAATTGGGGTATTTAAATTTATTGGGGTTTTAAATTTGAGCCACTTATTTAATTATTTTAAATTTTATATCATTGTTTTGTCTGTGTTTTTAAATAGGCTGTACACCGCCCTGAGTCCTTCGGGAGAAGGGCGGTATAGAAATAAATATTATTATTATTATTATTATTATTATTATTATTATTATTATTATTAAAAATGCCCCCTCCCACTGCTGTGGTGCAGGAGGCCAACTAGGCCACGCCCACCATGGCCACGCCCACCCAGCAACTGGGCAGAGAACCCCTTGCTAAAATTTTTGAAGCCCACCCCTGCTCACAGCCAACCTCCAGAGCCAAACTTGCCACAGGACAACTCACGAGACTTACGCTAATATTAAAGAAAGTGGAATAGAGGAGGGACAGAATGAAATGTGCATGACAAAAGTTAAAATAATGTTTTATTTATGTTAAAAAAAAAATTAAATTGTCCCGTGGTAAGTTGGCCTTGGCGAGTTGGCTCATCCTGCATTGGCTAGGTAGGTCTGTGGGAGAGAGAGAGAGAGAGAGAGAAAGGGAAAGTCAGGAAAAAGAAAAAAGAAAAAGAAGAGAGATTCGTTACCATGCGTTTCCAAAGTGCCATATCCACCCCAGTCAGATTCTCCGGCTAGATCAAGGCAGTAAGTGTGATCTCCTTTGCATGAAATCTTGTCTTCCCAAAGGCAGTAGGAAAGTTCTTTAGCAAAACAGGTTTTGCATTTCTTCCCGTTCGGTGTTGTGTTTACAGCGGGAACTGCATTAAAAAATAAATAAAAAATGACATCATCATGCCTGATTTGCAGCCACAGGAGGAAATCATGCATGTGTGTTGAGCCAAACCAGAGCAACTAACAATACAGATTTCAACTGCTCAAAAATCTACGCTGGCCAGGGAAATCGAGGAGGCGAATCCTATCCATCTTAAAGTCGCCCCAGTTGGGAAACACGATATCCACTTTTCCTAATAGTTCATACTAGGGGTGAAATCTAGCAGGTTCTAGAGAACCGGTAGTGGAAATTTTGAGTAGTTTGGAGAACCGGCAAATGCCACCTCTGACTCAGGGGTGGGTTCTACTTCATTCATTCATTCATTCATTCATTCATTCATTCATTCATTCATTCATTCATTATTTATTTCAGCTTATATGCCGCCCTATCTCACAATGGACTCAGGGTGGCTCACAACAATAAAACACAAGCCACAATATAAAACAAAGACTAAAAATCTAAAAAATTTAAAATTAACCCTTAAAACCCCATCATCAGTCCAGGTTGAGGGATTTGAAAAGCCAAGTTTTTAATTCACGGCGGAAGGTGCGAAGGTCAGGTGCTAATCGGAGCTCCAAGGGGAATTGATTCCAGAGGGTGGGCGCATCGACTGAGAAGGCTCTACCCCTGAGGGCCGCCAGCCGCCACTGTCTAGCCGACGGCACCCTGAGTAGGCCCTCTCTATGGGCGCGAACCGGGCGATGGGATATCGTTGCTGGCTATAATTTTGCAATATCCTTCCCCTGGAGTGGGGTGAGAATGGACATTTTGCAGTATCCTTCCCCTGCCACACCCACCAAGCCACACCATGCCCACCAAGCCACGCCCACAAAACCAGTAGTAAAAAAATTAGAATTTCACCACTGGTTCATACCTTATTTTGGCCTAAAATCTTCTTTGGAAGGGCAATGTGGGGCCACGGACTGCAAAGGGGATTTTCAACCATGAACAATCGAATGGAATTGAATGGAATACTTTATCTGGCCCAGTGTGATTAGATACACAAGGAATTTGTCTCATGTATCTTAATAATGGGTGTGTCTAATGAGGCAACTGGACTTTATTTGTTTGTCCTTGAAGACCTTTTGCTTCTCATCCAAGAAGCTTCATCAGTGCTGAGTGAATGGTGGCGAATGGAAAGATTTATATTCCTTGCAGTCATCTGGTCATTAGCGCTCTTTCTGAGAATCGTTGGGGCCACTTGGAAGTTTATGTATGCCCTCAGCGTCTCCTGAACAGTGCTAATACATTTGCTTACCTGCCTGGGAAACCTAAACTCCATTTGTGAACCACAATTTCTCTGTCTTGAATTCTTTTCTTTAAAAAAAAATAGAAGAGATAGTCCGCAACTTATAACAGCTCATTTAGTGACCTTCAAAGTTACAATGGCACTGAAAAAAAAAATGATGTATGGCCATTTTTCATATTTACGGCCATTGTAACATCCCCATGGTCACTATCATCAAAATTCAGCCGCTTGGCAACTGGCTCATATTTATGACGGTGATCCCCTTTTGCGACCTTCTGACGAGCAAAGCCAATGGAGGAAGCCCGATTCACTTAACAGCCGGGTGACTAGCTTAAAAACTGCAGCGATTCACTTAACAGCTGTGGCAAGAAAGGCTGTAAAACGGGGCAAAACTCACTAAACCGCCTGTCTCGCCGTCTTAGTAACAGAAATGTAGGGCTCAATTGTGGTCATAAGTCGAGGACTACCTGCACTGTCCGTGATGGGGACTCTTGAGGAAGCACCTATCTTGTCAGAGTATGAATATTCATAGCTGGAATAGACATGGTTAACAGGTCAACCAATGGGGACTGTTTGGAAACTGAAACATAGTACTTGTTTGCATGGGGCCAGAAGAGACAGTTTGGAGTCTGGGCGTGGCTTAGACTTGCTGAACTGTATATAAGAGTTGGTTTGGCCTCTGTAACTTTGGTGCTTCTGTACAATATATTAGCCTCTGTCTCAGGGGTGGTATTGAATTACCTTCACTACTGGTTCGCAAATATGAGCACGCATGCGGAGAACATTCCGTGCACGCGCAGAGCGTCAAAAACGGGACTCGAACCGGATAGAACCGCTACCAATTCGCTCAAACCGGATAGAACCGGCTGTATACAACCACTGCTCTGTATCTATCTACACCAGTGTTTCTCAACCTTGGTAGCTTGAAGATGGGTGGACTTCAACTCCCAGAATCCCCCAGCCAGCAGCGCTGGCTGGGGGATTCTAGGAGTTGAAGTCCACCCATCTTCAAGCTTCCAAGGTTGAGAAACACTGCTCTACACTATAATGACTTGCTTCTATGAATATTGCTTCTGTGTTCCTGATACTGTATGCTGAATTCTCCTATATGATATTGTATGTAAAGAAGTTTCTTATGTAATTTGAATCCTGCTGAAGTTCATTTAATGGTGTCTCAATTGTGTGTGCTGCAACAAACTCTGGCATATCTCTTGCTTACAATACAAGTCCTTTCAGCAGTTCAGTAGAGAACGGCATACATACAAGGGAGCACATTTCTACTGCATTCAAGGCCACGACAACAGGTCATCTTGGATGAGATAATCCCTTTTTCCCCCAGGTCCACACTGGTGATGTTTTCATAGCAGCTGTTGGCTTGGACACAGGCTTTTCTTGTGACAGATTTTCCACCTGAGATGATGAAGGAGAAAGAAATGTTTCCAGCCTAAATGGTGGTCCTGGATTGGCCAACTAGAGCAGGGGTGAAATCCAGCAGGTTCTGACAAGTTCTGGAGAACCAGTAGTGGAAAATTTGAGCAGTTCGGAGAACCGGCAAATACCACCTCTGGCTGGCCCCAGAGTGCGGTAGGAATGGAGATTTTGCAATATCCTTCCCCCAGGAGTGGGGAGGAATTGGGGATGTTGCAGTATCCTTCCCCTGGACTGGGGTGGGAATGGGGATTTTGCAGTATCCTTCCCCCGCCATGCCCACCAAGCCACGCCCACCAAGCCACACCACGCCCACCAAGCCATGCCCACCAAGCCACACCACGCCCACCAAGCCACGCCCACAGAACCGGTAGTAAAAAAAATTTGGATTTCACCACTGAACTAGAGGCACTTTACATCGGGGTGGGCAAATCATTTCCCCAAGGGGGCCACATGAGAAACGGGGACGGTTGTGTAGGGCCAAACCTTTTCTGCTTACTTTTGTGGTTTATTGATTGGAAAGTAGCACACTGATCTAAGAAAGCATAGCAATTTTGTCTTACTCCGTGACAATTGTCCTTAGTTTTTCTACAAACTTCACAGGTTAAAGACCAACCTAAAAACAAAGGAGGGAGCAAGAGTTGAGTGATTCATTTGACGGATTTCATTGTGTGTGTGTTTGCATGTGTGTTTATTGGACAGCGTTAAAATTAGGGTTGCTGACTTTTTTTCATCCAAACACCCATGAATGCATGCTATGTAATGCAAGGACCAAGGACTGTTGCCCCAGGAATCACACTTGAAATATGAGCGTTGGAAGCTAGCAATAGCACTAGCATTTAGACTTATATACCGCTTCACAGTGTTTTACAGCCCTCTCTAAGTGGTTTACAAATGTCAGCATATGGCCCCCAACAATCTGGATCCTCATTTTACTGAGCTCGGAAGGATGAAAGGTTGAGTCAACCTTGAGCAGGTCAGGATCGAATTCTTGGCTGTGGGCAGAATTTGCCTGCAATTATTATTATTATTATTATTATAATTTTATTTCTATACCGCCCTTCTCCTGCGGGACTCAGGGCGGTGTGCAGCCAAGATAAAAACATTACATATAAAATTTAAAAACAATTTAAAAAACAATTAAATAATTTCGGCCCAAGATATTAAAAACAACCCAATTAAAACCAAATTCAATTAAAACTGAGAGGATGGGATCAAGCCAGCCCAGCTAGATGGAATAGGTGTGTTTTCAGGGCCCGACGAAAAGTCCGGAGGTCTGATATCGTGCGTATCTCAGGGGGTAGGTCATTCCAGAGGGCGGGTGCTGCCACAGAGAAGGCTCTCCCCCTGGGGGTCGCCAGCCGACATAGTCTGGCCGACGGCACCCTGAGGAGGCCCTCTCTGTGCGAGCGAACCGGTCGGTGGGAGGCTATTGGCGGCAGAAGGCGGTCTCGCAAATAACCCGGCCCTAAGCCATGGAGCGCTTTAAAGGTGGTCACCAACACCTTGAAGCGCACCCGGAAGACCACAGGAAGCCAGTGCAGCTCACGCAGGAGAGGTGTCATATGTGAGCGCCCCGTTGCTCCCATAATCCCCCGCGCGGCCGCATTCTGGACTAACTGTAGCCTCCAGGTGCACCCCAAGGGGAGCCCAATGTAGAGAGCAATACTGCATTCTAATCACTGCGCCACCATGGCTCTAGATTCCCACAATATACTTATCCTGATTACAAGATTTGCACGGGTCATTAAGCAATACAGGCAATGCACACACGCAAAACCACATCCACACATCTGCACAAATCACCCCCAGCAAAGGTTAAGATTAAGTTACTTTAGCAGGCTATGTAAATGCCTTGTTAGATCTTTATGGGAGCTGATTTGGGATTGAATTAATTCATTTTCTAGGTTTTCATTCTCCGTTGAGCAAAAAGGGAATTGGGTCTAGTGGTTAAGTCACCTGGCTAGAAAAGCAGGAGATGGTAAGTATTAGTCCCGCCTTAGGCATGAAAGCTAGCTGGGTGGCTTTGGGCCAATCATGAGGAGACTGTGAGTTCTAGTCCCGCCTTAGGCATGAAAGCTAGCTGGGTGGCTTTGGGCCAATCATGAGGAGACTGTGAGTTCTAGTCCCGCTTTAGGCATGAAAGCTAGCTGGGTGGCTTTGGGCCAATCATGAGGAGACTGTGAGTTCTAGTCCCGCCTTAGGCATGAAAGCTAGCTGGGTGGCTTTGGGCCAATCATGAGGAGACTGTGAGTTCTAGTCCCGCTTTAGGCATGAAAGCTAGCTGGGTGGCTTTGGGCCAATCATGAGGAGACTGTGAGTTCTAGTCCCGCCTTAGGCATGAAAGCTAGCTGGGTGGCTTTGGGCCAATCATGAGGAGACTGTGAGTTCTAGTCCCGCTTTAGGCATGAAAGCTAGCTGGGTGGCTTTGGGCCAATCATGAGGAGACTGTGAGTTCTAGTCCCGCTTTAGGCATGAAAGCTAGCTGGGTGGCTTTGGGCCAATCATGAGGAGACTGTGAGTTCTAGTCCCGCCTTAGGCATGAAAGCTAGCTGGGTGGCTTTGGGCCAATCATGAGGAGACTGTGAGTTCTAGTCCCGCTTTAGGCATGAAAGCTAGCTGGGTGGCTTTGGGCCAATCATGAGGAGACTGTGAGTTCTAGTCCCGCTTTAGGCATGAAAGCTAGCTGGGTGGCTTTGGGCCAATCATGAGGAGACTGTGAGTTCTAGTCCCGCCTTAGGCATGAAAGCTAGCTGGGTGGCTTTGGGCCAATCATGAGGCGTCTGTGAGTTCTAGTCCCACCTTAGGCAGGAAAGCTGGCTGGTTGGCTTTGGGCCAATCATCAGGAGACAGTAAATCCTAGTCCCATTTTAGGCATGAAAGTCAGCTGGGTAACTTTGAACCAACCAACAGATTTCAGGAAAGAATGCCAAAATCTTAGGTGATGCTGGCTGAGGAATTCTGGGTGTTGAAGTCCACCCATCTTAAAGTTGTGAAGATCGAGAACCATTGACTTAGAAGGATGTTTCAGGATTTTTCCTTACTTTTATCTGTGAGGTACAGCAGCGCTCCAACAATGCAGCAGCCCAAAGTAAGAGAAGGCATTGGAGATGGGCGATTCCACCGGCTTTGATCTTTGGGCAGAGAAGACTTTTTTTTTGGGTGGTCAATCCCTGGACTGCCAGACACGGTAAAATTGACTATTTCTCTCCTCCAAAGAAAAGAAAGACAATACGAATGAGATTCTGTTTGGAGTTGAGTAAGATGCACCAGACATGATAATGCAACTCTAGAAAGCAAGGTTGAGGGAAGGAAGAGAAGGGGGAAACCCTAACTCTTGCAAGAAGTACAGATGGGTTGTTATTGGAGGTAGGTTGAACTGGTGAGAAGTTGTCAAGAGTTAATGAGTTAATTGGAGGACACCATGGCACCTGATCAAGGACAATGTGCATTGTGGTCCATATGGTCCCTTTGAAGGGACACTGAGCACAGCCCTGATAAAGTCCTAGCAAGGCGGAGAAGAAACATAGGTAATCCTCACCTGAAGTTTTTAGTTGCTTTAGTTGTTTTAGTTGCTTTAGTTGTGCATGGCCAATTTGCAGCACAGAGTACAATCGCTTTGCAGGTACCGGTCCGAGTCCTTAACTTTACAGTCACAATTGGTAACCAAGTTTTTGTTGCTTAAGCCAGGTGGTTGCTACGTGAGAATTTATGAGGGGCAAATGACATGGGTTTTGTAATTTGTTAAGTAACCTAGTTACTTTGCATTTTAATTTGATTTATTTTCTCTGTTTTAAAATGATGTCCCGGTTTATTAGCTTTTAACATTCCTAAACTGATAAACAAGCTGGAGACTAGCTCCAGATAAGAAAAAGTTTGTTAGGTCAATTTGGGGTATAACTTATCTCTTTCGTGAACTCTAAAGAAACTTTTTCCGCATAATTACGCTCCTTTTGACGTCAGACCTCATTTTAATGAACATGTGTGGTATTATGGGATCCAAATATGTAACATGTTTGACTACATGTAACTGATTTCCCATGCAAAGGCGAGGTTACTTTTATTCTGTCCAATCAACTTTCCTCTTGCATTTTCTCTGTTGCGTTAACTATAAAAAGGAATGTAAGATTGGTCTCGAGGTTCTCTCTCTCTTTTTTCATAGAGAGATCCCACTTTATCAGGGTATCCAAATAAACTGCTTTTAAATGATCTTCCGACTCAGTTGCTTATTGGGAAGGTAAACTGAGGCAGAACCTAGGGTATGATTTGGCTTTCAGAATCCCAGACAATTTTATGACGTTTTCTGCCATGGTTAAGGGAATCCCTGCGGTTGCTAACTGAATCAGGAGGTCATTAAGTGAATCCAACTTACCCCATGAATTTGCTTGTCGGAAGCGAGCTGGGAAGGTGGCATGGATAAGCCAAGGTGGATTAATTGATTAAACTATGATGAGATTAATTTTAGATAAACATATCGTTCCACAAAGGCCTCACGAGGAAAAGGGAGGAGCCCATTTTGATCTTTCTGTAGAGATTACGAGAGAAACGGTGTAGGAATCATAAAGTTAGGGAATCCGATTAGTTGTTCTTATTAGTTGTTCACCTATTTCTCTTCCCTAAGTAGCGATGTTGTGAGGACAAGAGATTAACACACTACTGTACAGGTAGTTCTCGAATGACAGCAGTTCATTTAGTGGTGATGGTTTGAAGTAACAACGGCACTGAAAAAAATGACATTTGACAGTGTTTCACGCTTACAACCGTTGCCGCATCCCCATGGTCACGTGATCAAAATTTGGATGCTTGGCAACTGACTCACATTTATGACGGTTGCAGCGTCCCGGGGTCATGTGATCCCCGTTTTGTGACCTTCTGATAAGCAAAGTCAATGCGGAAGCCAGATCCACTGAACAACCTTGTTACTAATTTAACAACTGCAGTGATTCACTTAGCAACTGTGGCAAGACGGGTCGTAAAATGGGGGAATATTTCACTAAACAACTTTCTCACTTAGCAACAGCAATTTTGGTCACAATTCGAAGACTACCTGTATTCATAAATGCATTGGGGGTGGGGGGAAACCCCAGCTGGTTGACTTTGGGCCAGTCCTCCTCTTTCTCTCTCTCTCTCTCTCTCTCTCTCTCTCTCTCTCAGCCCAACCTACCTCACAGGGTTGTTGTTCTGGGGAAAATAGGAGGAGGAAGGATGGTTAGGTTTGTTTACCGCCTTGAGTGATTTATAAGCAATAATAAAGGAGGTTTCAAAACAGGACACCCTACCTGGAGACAGTACTGATTTAATTCGTTCAAATTTCACAACAAATTGAATCAGAAACTAACCAAATCATATGGCTTCACGTCACAATCTCTGAATCAGTAACAGGTTATCAGGGTTTAAAGAGTTACCTGGAGGCTTGAAGGCAACAGAAGTAACAAGAGTTTAACTGTGGCCTACGAAGACAGCCTCCTGATTTCTAACTGCCTAGATAAAGAGGCAGTTTAGAACGGAACGGAATAGAATAGGATAAGCCCTGTTGTGTAAAGACAGTTATATATAGACAGCCCTCTCCCCTAATCTCATAAGAATGACAGGAGGCTATTTCTCTTAGTTCAGGCTTCTTTTTATTCCTTTGGGTTTGTAATTGGGTCCCTAAGGCGTAACTAAAAGTGGAGCCAGAAATAAATAAAGATGTAAACGAGGGAGTAGAGAGCCCGTATCTAGAAGGGAGGCACCCTAAGCAGGAAGTTGTGTTGTTTCTCCGGGTAATATAATATATGTGGGTATATGCATTATTTATGTGTGTGTGTGTGTGTGTGTGTGTGTGTGTTTGTGTATGTGTCATGGTTTGTGTAGCGTAGATTGGAAGTGGTGACCCTTTGAGAGGCTGTTTGGGTCAACGAAATTTCATTTTAATGTATGCCGATTAGCGTACGTTCAAAGTGACAATAAAGTTATTCTACCGTGGTGGCCAAAATTGTGGAAACCTTTTGGGAAAAGTATATTTTCTAAAACTAGCTAATAACATTACTCTTTTTTCCAGTAATACAATAAAATCATGTATCAATGGAAAGATAATTTAATCAAGAATGTAATGCAATAATTTTTATGAAGGATTTGCTATTAGAAGAGCATAATTCTTCTATGAATTATTCATATATAATGGATAAAGTATAAAGAAGAAAAGTGAAACACATAGAAAAAAACAGATATATAAAATTATCACCATAGAAAAAATAAGATATAGAAAAATTATCACCATGTCAGTTAATACTCAGTTGGGTAACTTTTAGCATGAATGATGGCCTTACAACGTCTTCCCATGGAGTGAACCAAGTCTTTGAGTTCTGCAGCTGTTCTAATGTGAAACCAAGATTGAATGATGGCTTCTATTAACTAGGTTTTATTGCTGGGTTGCTTCTGACTAACCAGTTTCTTTAGTCGGCTCCATAGATTTTCAATTGGGTTAAGGTCTGGGCTATTCCCAGGCCATTCCAGCAGTGGAATAGAATTATCTTGAAACACCAAAAAATAAAGTGGTATTATTAGCCATCAAATCTCAAAAATGCACTTTTCCCAAAAGGTTTCCACAATTTTTGCTACTACTGTAAGTCTAAGGCAAGAAATGGAAGAAATTGAGCCCGAAATTTCTGTTGTTGTTACAGTTCAGGTGTTAACTAAGTTATGCCTCATTTTACGACCTTTCTTGCCACAGTTGATAAGCGAATTGTGGCAGCTGTTAAAACTAGTAACACGGTTATGAAGTGAATCCGAATTCCCCCTTGACTTTGCTTGTCAGAAGGTCGCCAAAGGGGATTAACTTGACCCCAGGGCCGTCATAAATATGAACCAGTTGCTAAGGGTCCAAATTTTGGTCACATCATGACCACGAGGATGCTGCCACGGTTGTGTTGAAAATGGTCATAAGTCACTTTTTTCAGTACCGTTATATTAACTTCGAACTAAACGAATGGTTTGTAAGTTGAGGCCTACCTGTATGAGTTTCTTAAATTGTGGACCAGCAAGTAGAAACTTATGTTGCTGTTATTGTTGTTGTTTTGCTTTTGGGACACAAATGGAGAATGAACCAAGGAAAAAGATAAGTCCACAGATAAGGTTGATGAATGAGATCAAGAGGTCATCTATGTGTCCTTGAAAATGCTATAAATTGTTTATCAGAGGCAGTTGAAGGAAAATCTGTCCAGATGCTGTTTATAGGTCTGGACATTAGAGTCTGCTTATTATTAGAGTCCAATCTCATCAGCCACACCCAACAGACTTGATACCTTGGACTAGGAAAACAGGGTTTATGGATTAAATTCTGAGGAAAAAAAATATCACATGTTATTTTATTTTTCTGGGTGACAACAGCGACATGACCTTTGAAGGCTCAGTCTTGGAAAGACTCTGAGATACCTAAAATAGAAGAATGGTTCATGAAGGTGACCGAACTGACAATGATGGCTAAATGAAGGGCTCTTTGAGAGAAAAGTCACTGAAGAAGTTCATCTAAACTGGGAGATTTTCTAGGACTTTTTTTTTTTTTGCAGGATATAGGAACAGAAAAGTCAAATTATGACATGGAATTGATGTTTGTTCTGTGTGGGGGGAACTCTATATTATGGTATTAAATTAAGAATGGAATATGTTTTAATATCCTTGGAAGATGAAATGAGAAGTCATTCTAGGGTATATATTTTTCTTTCCTTTTTTTATATCTTTCTGCACTCTCCTCTCCTCTCCTTCCTTCCTTCCTTTCCTTCCTTCCTTCTTCCCTTCCTCCCTTCTTCCCTACCTCCTTCCTTCCTGTTTTTATTTTATTTTATGCGTCCCTGACTTCCCCTCTCCCTGTCTCCCTTCTTCCTTCCTTCCTTCCTTCCTTCCTTCCTTCCTTCCTTCCTTCCTTCCTTCCTTCCTTTCTCTCTCTCTTTCTTTCTCTTTCTTTCCTTCCTTTCCTTTCCTCTTTCTTTCTTTCTTTTTCCTTCATTCTTTCTTTCCTTCCTTTCTTCCAGTTTGCCTCCCCTCCCCCTGCCTCCCTCCTCCCTCCCTCCCTCCCTCCCTCTTTCTTTCTTTCCCTCCCTCCCTCCCTCCCTCCCTCTTTCTTTCTTTCTTTCTTTCTTTCTTTCTTTCTTTCTTTCTTTCTTTCTTTCTTTCTTTCTCTCTCTCTCCCTCCTTCCTTCCTTCCTTCCTTTCTTTTAATTTTTCATTCATTCA